GAACGGCACAGTGAAACACTCTCACATACGCTGACACAAAGACTGAAGGAAATGCTTTTCCTTAATTCTCAGCACTCAGAAGTGACAAAGAAAACCTCAGAGTGCTTGTATTTATTCCGTCTTGGGGGCCATTCAAGTCCTATTCCTTGGGGGCAGCAACACAATTTGAGGATGGCTCACAGAAAGGCAAGGCTTTGATCAAGGTGACTGGCACTGTAACAGGTGAGCGAAACCACCTGATGATTTCCTGAAAGACTGCAGAAAAATCACTAACAGGTCAAAGAGTAGAGGTGACCAAGAAAGTGAAACTCTCCCAGAGCTGGAGTCAAATGGCAGCTAGGCCTCCATTTGGTGACATCCACGCCAGACGCCAGTGCTCCACAGAACTCACTAGCATTCCACTCTGCAGCGGCAGCCATGGCCTCTAGGGAGAGGAAAAGCGAGCAGGGTTGGAGTGGGGGCACAGTAAGAGGAAGGAAGAACCGAACAGGAGCAGTAATGGGAATGTAGATCCACCTGCCCCGGAAGCCAGCCCTCTAGCTAAAATATTCCATTTCTGCAGAGAGAGAATTCATTTTCTATTTATACATGCAACAAGGGCACACCAAGTGTCTCTGTTGCAGGCAGCCGAGCTAGGCAGTGAGACAGGGCTAGGTCTCAAAGAGCCAGTGCAGAAGCCCAGATACCTTGCAACTGTAGGGGAGACAGACAGGTCCTGCTGTGGGCCAGGCCTCAAGACAAAAGATCAAACACATGCACCCACGTCCCTAAGGATTGGTATTCTAAATAGTTCCCTATCACCCTGGAGTCACTATCCCATCCTTGTAGGGGAAAGGTCACAGCTCCAAGAATGCCCAGGTTCCTACATGACTTGCTTTCCCATTTGTCCCCAATGTAATCAATTTCACCTAAACTATTGATCTTATTGGCTACCTATAGTTATGTTCCACCTTATGCCCATCTGCTTTTTGAGTTCCCAGCCTTCCTCCACCTCGAACCCATGGTTTTACTCTATAAAAGTCCCTGGAAAAGACAGACTCCTGGGCAACCCGCTTGGGACCCCCTTCTGTCTCTCTGACAGAAACTTTCTCTCAATAAATACATTCTACTCTTCACCTTTGTTGTTCCTAAAACTCATTCTTCAGTTTTGGAGAACATGAACTCCCTATATCATCTCCACGCCCCAGACACAACAGCAAACAAAGATAGCCCTGGGTCCTCTTCCCGGGAGACCACAGCCTTTCAAGGATCTTTTGCAAATGTGAAAGAGACCAAGAGACTGAGGGAGGAGGGAGGGCAGGGTGTTGGGCACATGTACCAGCTCCTCGTCATGAATGGAATCATCATGCACTGCACACATGCATTAAAATAATAAAAAGTGAAAAACAAGGGCTGGGGATTTAGCTCAGCAGCATAAGCGCCTGCTTTGCAAGTGTGCGGTCGTGAGTTTGATCCCGGGTACTGGTAAAAACAAAAAAGACCAAAAAAAACCACGTGAAAAACAGCAAAGCTCATTAGAATTAACAGGGATCAAACATGAGCAGTTCTCAACTTGAACTGCAGGTGAATATATCTGTTCTGAAATGATAAAATACAGTACTGTGCAGGAGATAACAACATTGCTGGGTGGTAGCTGTGATGAATGCTTGTAATCTTAGCCCTCCGGAGGGGAGGCTGAGGCAAGAGGACTGCTGGGAGTTCAAGGCCAGTGTAGGCTACAAAGTGAGTTCAAGGCCTGCCTGGACTATATATCAAGACCATGACTCGGGACCAGAGATTTAGCTTAGCAGCCTAAGCGCCTGCCTAGCAAGCATGAGGTTGTGAGTTTGATCCCAGGTACAAAAAAAATTTAAAAAAAACAAAAACAAACAAACAAACAAAAAAAACCATGACTCAAAGAGACAAAATTTCTTTTAAATTCTCAACATAAAGAAGATAACAAAGGAGCATCTCCAACACTGAAAAGCAGAGGTGTGAGCAGAGCAGAGCAGAAAGCAAGGTCTTGCAGGACAGGGGATTCTTAAATTCAGAAATAAAACAGCGGCTGACCGGGGCCAGAGGGAAGGAGCAAGGGAGATGAAGATGGGGCTGGGACAGGATGGGCCACATGGGAATTTCGAGAGTCCTCAAGGATTCTGATCTGTGTTCTGTAGACAATGGAAAGTGGCAACAAACACAAAGGCAAATTAGAGTAAGAGAAACCTGTTCTCTAAAGCTGTTACAGCAACTTCTGTGACAGGAGGGGAGCTGGGGTAGGGTGGTAGCAGCCTGGGAAGAAGAGGTGTGAATGGGCGTGAGAGACTGACTGATGGGGATCCTGATAGGGTGAGGATGGCACAGGAGACAGGACTCAACACGGAGCAGGATGACTCAAATGCCTGCTTTGTGCAACTGAATGGACGGTGGTGTCAGTAGCTGGGAATGGAGTTAGGGAGTCCTGGAAAGACACCAGGGTTGGAGTATGAACTGGTTACTGGCACCTCCCATGATACCTCCCAGCACCCATGCATTTTATGAATCTATAATTTCCTCACTATGCTTTTGCCTGATCTCAACTTTATGTTATCCTGACATCATATGGGAACTCCTAGGTACAAATCAGGGAATACCAATGAAATTATCAGAAAACCCTTTTACTTTTCACAGCTATGATTTCAATGGTTATTTACAGAAAAATAAACAGAAACTATGTTTGAAAAGACTAAAGGATGGCATAGTTTGTAATTCACAAGGCATCCACTGCAACACTCCAATCCAATGCTAAAGGTACTTTTAGGAATATATGATACAGAATGAGTATTACCAGTCCAAAAATCTAAAACCCAAAATCCAAAGCCTTTTGAACACCAATGCTAGACCATGGATGAAAAATCCCATGCCTAGCTTCATGTAATGGGTTGCAGTCAAAACACAGGTGCACTAAAATATTGCAAAAAAATTAACTTTGGGCCCTATGTGTGCAAGGAGCACATAAAACAAATGCACTGTATATTTAGACTCGGATCTTGTCTTTTAGTCCCTTTTTTCACTGGCACAAAAAACCTACCACCCACAATTTAAAGGAGAAGAGCTTTTTTTTGGCTCAAGTTTTCAGTCCATAGTTGGTGCCCCCAAGACAGGAAGACGTGGTAGAAGAGGCTGGCGGAGGCAAACTGCTGATTTTGTGACAGCCAGGAAGCGGAGAAAAGAAGCAGCCAGGGAGAGAAACAAACCTTCCAGGTCACATCCCAGTGACCCTCTTTGCCAACCGGACTCCAGGCCCCCCAGGGAAAGTCAGCTACAGAGACCCCATGGTCCATCCTCTTCCGCCTGCAGGGGAGATTCTTGACATAAACCATATCAGGTCCCATTTCTAATAAATATGATTATGTATATGCATGTATTTCAAAACATGAAATTCAAAACACTCCTAGTCACAAGCATCTCGAATAAAGGATACTCAATTACTGCAAACAGTTACTGTTGGCTATCAGCTTCTGAAATTTCAACTAGCTTTGTGCTGTTCATGGCATAAACACTAGGGAAACATTGCACAGCCGATTTCTCCTCCTGGAAATGGATTCTTCCCTTGACTTCCAGGGGAACAGGCTATCCTTGCATCCCTTCAAATTTCCAGGGCACTATACCAGCCCAGTGCTCCCTGTGTGCAAACCCAAGAGCAACCTGGGGCTCAGTCCTTGATGCTGTCCCCTTCTCCATCTGCAGTTACTTCCTCGGTGATCTTATATAACGTCTGCACTTTGATCACTATCAGTGCCCTAATGAATACAGGTGAGTAAAAATCACTCTTGACCATGCAGCTGCAGACTCCTCCAACATGTAAGTCTAATTAACACCTCCTGTAAACAAAGACTGCTAGGGGCTGGAGATCTAGCTCAGTGGCATAAGTGCCTGCCTTACAAGCAGGCAGTTGTGAGTTCAACCCCCGGTACCAATAAGAAGGAAAAAGACAAAAAAAAAAAAAAAAAAAAAAAAAAAAACCAAAGACTGATAGGCACCACAACAGACCCAAACCAAACATTTCACTCCTTAACCCCATGTACTGTTTCCCAATCTTTTTGTTTTTGGTCTTTTTCCTTTTTTATCGGTACCGGGGATCGAACTCACGACTGCCTGCTTTCAAGGCAGGTATTTATGCCACTGAGCTAAATCCCCAGCCCCAATCTTTTATTTTTCAATAAATGCTGCTGCCACGCTCCTACTTGTTATAGTTTGACTCTAACCAGGTCATCCCCCTTCTCACACTACCACCCTTAAACCAAGCCACATTTCTCGCATGGACAACTCTGTCTAGTTGGTTCCTGGCTTCCTTCCTACAATCAGTTCCCTGTACACCAGCTGCCACAAGGACTTTTGAAAGATGGTCACTGTAATATTGGAAAAGGATGATGTTAGTGTAGTCTACAGTTAATGGAATAATGGAACTACAGAGAGGAAAAGTAATATAAAGTAAAATATGAAATTAAGTCATTTGAGTGACACATTAAGGAGGACAGGTTCCCATCTAGTCTTTGCCATACCCTACAATGCCTTCTGGCTCACTGGGCACAGTTGTAAAGACTTCCAGTGGGCCTCAAACTCACCAAACCTGTTTTCCCTATCAGAACAGGCACAGTGGTGCACAACTGCAATCTCAGCACTTGGGAGCTTGAGACAGTGACAATTGGCACAAACTTAAGGCCAGCCCTGGCTACCTAGTGAATTCAATGCCAACCTGAACTAAAGAAAAAACAAACTACCCCATCACCCCCCAAAATGAACACTTGAGTCTGCGATTTGTCTTCTGCTTTGTATGCTCAGCTTCCAGGTCTTCAACAGATTTCACCTCACACTCTGCTGCAACAGCAACTCTCAAATCCCTTCCCACACTTCCCCATCTAAAGTGGCCTGTTCTGTAATTCGGCACTGCTGGTTCTACTCCTTCCTATTTTATTTTCTTTTGCAACAATTACTATTGCATGAAGTTACTATTTCATATCTATTTATTTGTAAGGTTATGGGGATAGAAATTTTGTCTGCGTTGTCATCACTGTTTTCCCACACTTAGTGAGTTCAATGCCTGGAAGTATGCATTGGATAAATAAGAATAAGTTTTCACGTATCAGTTTTAGAACCAATATATACAGTTCAGTAGCTGATGGGAACTTTGTCTCACTCCAAACAGTTCATGTATTTCTTTTCCCTGGCCTATAACAGTTCTTACCAATCAGATCATTTAATTTCATATTTAACTGCTGTTTAACTCATTTAATGAAAATATTTCACAGGGTACTGAAAACATGGGTAAGACATTGTGTGGGACACAAGAAAGCCTGTGGAAAATCAATATGATTTGATCTGGAAAAAGCACACAATTCATTTGGAGTACGAAATAATGGACAGACAGCCTTCATACATATGGCTTCACAGCTCTGAATATGCACGAACAGTGCAACAGGTCCTCGACATGCAGCACCTACGTGGGAAGTCAGGCCAGAAGCTGTTCTTCGAAGCTGGTGTGAAGCCACTTGGCTCTGAGTTTGTATGCTACAGGCCTCTCCAGTGCTACCTCGAAGCACAGCCTGCTGATTCACAGCTTATCTTTAAGATAAGCTGCCCTAGATTTACTAAGGTAAAATTTGCTAATACATATCACAGAATTTATGATATACAATATAATATATACATTACGAAAGATTCACTCAGGCACTCCACTTAGCCAGGGAGCTGTGTGGTGTGCCACTTGGGTCCCACCCAGTGACCCTAAGGAACTGGAGAGCCTTGGTGCATTGTGTGGTGCCTGCTCAAGGCCTGCCCAGAATATTCCACCTAGCCAGAGAGCTTCTGTGCACACAAAAGACCTGATAAGGTCCCTCAACCCTCACTGCCCTGCATGGCACTGAAGACCTGCCCAGACACTGAAGACCTGCCCAGAAAATTCCACCTAGCTGGTCAGTCTCTGTGCACACTGGAGACCTGGTAAGGTACCCCCAGTGACCCCAAGTACCTGGGAAGCATCAATCAGTGCACCCGTTGAAGGCCTGCCCGTTGAAGGCCTAGCCCGGGAGCCTTGGTGCACCACTCAGGGCCAGGTAGGGCCCCACCCAGCAACCCTAAGCAGCCAAAGGGCCTTGGTGTGCCACGTGGGGCCTGCTGAAGGCCCACCCAGTGTACTCCAGCCATCCAGGGAGCATCAGAGAGCTGCTCTGGATCTGGGAAGACCTGCCTAACAACCCCCACTCAGTTGGGGAAACCTCCTCCAGTCTACAGAGCCAAGGTCAACCTACAAAGCAAGTGGGACTATGCATTTAGCTGCCTGAGGACAATACAGGAAAATGACCCAACAAAAGAGCAAAATGCAATCTCAAAACCTCTAGTCTACCCTAAACAAGCTTCGGAGACATGGACATAGAATAAAGTGTAAGTCACACACCTGAAATTTCTGAAATGATAGCAACCGAAATAAAGAAACAACTCCATGAGCTGTAAAGGAACTCAGAAATAATCTCCTAGGTAAAACAAGAAATGATGCATGTAATGAAAGAAATGCTGAACACATCTAAAAAGACATACTTAAAAAAACAGAGAAGCACTGAAAAATGACGGAAACTTTGAATGAAAAATATATGAAACAATTAGAATACATGAAAAAAAGTCAAACAGATATCCAGGAAAAGCTGGCAAAACCAGCTGAATGAATGTGAAGGTAGACCTTGAAGACAAGATTGCAGCTGTGGGAGGCGATCCCAGTGACTTCCTTTGAATCCAAAACAATTACTGTCACGTTGATATTTGGAGACTCATTTCCTTATATTGTAAAAGGCTGGCTTCTCTCTTCAACTGGCTCTCAGCATTGCAAATAAGGCTAGGCAAGGTGCTAATATGCAAAATCTATAGCCATCAGACAGTCCTGTTTCCTCTCATAGTGTTCTCCACACTACAGGATTGAGCACTTGAGATGTTAGAGCAAATAGTTCCGGGAAGATCAACTGGGTACAGCCTCAACATAAGAGGCTATGACTCCTCAGGGCACAAGAGTCTGCATACATATCAGAACCCAAAGAGAGAGCCTCTCCAAAACAATTCCACTGCTACCTTAATTGGATTATGTAAATTGATCTTTCTGGTATCTTTGTCTCTGCAATTTACAGAGATGCCAATCTTGAACCTGGCCAGCCAGCTCAAGTTACTCATCATCCTCACTGTCACTCATTCCTGAGTTACCCCCCATCCTTCCTCACAAGGTAATAAATTCTGGGAGAGGCTTAGGGTCAAGGGCTTTGTCTGCATGACCTTATCCAGGATTGGATTTAGGACCTCTTGGCTGCCCTTAACTTGGAATATGCCTTTGTGTCTTTACTCTCCTTATGGATCGCATTGGTGATGGTAGATTGGAATTAACCTGCTGGGATTCCAAAAATGTCTCAATGAGATTACATATATAACTTTCCAGATTGTGAGGAAAACTAGAAAGAGGATTACAATACTAGGATGACTGAACTTGATATTTGGGTTTACAATAGCAGCTAGTGAACAAGAAAGGAAAGATCTTTTAAAAATAATGAGGAATCAGAAAATAACAATTCAATCCCCGGTACCAATAAAAAGGAAAAAGACAAAAAAAAAGAAAAGAAAAGAAAAGAAAATAACAATTCAACAGTTGCAAGATGATGCAAAGAAAAACAATATAAGATTGATAGGTGTAAACAAAAGGTGACTACACAAATGATATAAAGACTACTTACAAAATAGCAGAAAATTTCCCAAACATGGGAAAAGAAACTGACATACAGATAAGTGATGCATTTAGAATTCCAATTAGCCATAACCAAAATAAATCCACACTCAGACATATAATACCCAGAAATTCAACGTAAGAATAGAATATTAAAAGCCATTAGAGAAAAAAAACAACTCACCTATAAAGGAAAGCAGCAGACTTCTCAACACAAATGATCAAGTTAAGAGCATGGAATAAAGTATTTCAAATCCTAAAAGAAAACAACTTTCCACCCAGATTGATCTACCCTGAAACTATCCTTCAAAATAGATGGAGAAATAAGATATATCCACAACAAAGAACATGGCCACCAAACCAACCCTACAAAGAATACTGAAAGATATTCTACATAGATATAAAAATGGCTACAATTTCAAGAACACCAACAGAAAAAAACCATCAAGCAGGGCAAACAATTAAACAGAGGGGAAAGGTAAAGAACCAACAGCAGAAAGATAACATGAAAAAAAAAAAGTCAATATGCATCAGTTATAACCATTAATGCAAATGGCCTCAATTCACCAATTAAAAGAAACAGAATGGCAGAATAGATCAAGAAACAACATCCAACCATATGCTGTATACAGGAAACCCATATAATCCAAAAGGAAATTCATACACTGAACGTCAAAGGATGTAAAATATTACTTCATGCAACAGGAACCCAAATAAAAGCAGGGGTAGCTATTCTGTTTGCAGACAATGTGAACTTCAAACCAAGAATGACCAAAAGATAAAGTCACTACATACTGGTTAAGGGAAGACATCAAAAGGAAGAGATAATAATCTTAAATATATTTGCATCAAATATGGGAGTACCCAGCTATATAAAATATTAATAGACATGAAAAATCAAATAAGCAATAACACAATTATAACAGGAGGCCTAAGCACCCTACCGACACAAAGAGACAGATCAATTAGACAAAAAAATCAGCAAAGAAATTACAGAATGGAATCAAACTTGTGAATTAGTAGACACAAGAGATGTGTACAGAGTATTCTACCCAACAGCATTAGAATAAACATTCTTCTCAGCTTCACATGGGACATTCTCTAAAACAGACCATATACTAGCACACAGAACATGTTGAAGTAAATGCAAAAGAATCAAAATTATCCCATGCATATTATCTGATCATAGTGCCATAGAACTGGAAATTAATGAAAAAAGAAACTGTAAAAACCCCATAAACACATGGCAATACCCTCCTGAATAATCAATGGGTCACAGAGACAATTAGAGAAGAAATTAAACAACTACAGGTCAATGAAAATGTAAATATAATTTACCGGATCCTGTGGAATGCAATGAAAGGAGTCCTCAGAGGAAACTTATTGCAATGAATTGTCACAATAGGAAAACAGAATGAACAGAATAAATAACCTGACGCTACACCTCAAACATCTAGAAAAAGAAGAGCAAGTCAAACCCAAAGCCAAAAGGAAAGAAATTATAAAGATCAGAGCAAAAGTTAACACAACTGAGACTAAGAAAATACAAGGAATTAATAAATCAGAGTTGGTTCTTTGAAAGAATAAAGTGATAAGCCCCTAGCCAACCTTATTTTAAAAAGGAAAGAAAAAACCCAAATCTATGCAATAAGAAATGAAAAGGGTGAAATCACTACAGACCCTGTGGAAATACAGAAGATCAACAATACCTACTTTGAAAACCTTTACTCTCATAGGCTCGACAACAGAAGAAATGGACAAATTTCTAGAAACATACGAGTTACTAAGGCTGGATCAGGAAGACATAAAACTGCTGAATAACCCAATTTCAGTTAATTAAATTGAAAATGTAATTAGAAACTTAACCAACAAAGAAAAGCCCAAGTCCTATGGAGTCATAGCTCAATTCTACAAGAAATTTAGGGAAGACTGAATGCTAACACTCCTCAAAATCTTCAGTGAAACTGAAAGGGAAGCAAGCCTCCCTAATTCATTCCTGGAAGTGAGTATTACCCTAAACCAGAGATGACACAACCAAAAAAGAGAACTACAGGCCAATCTCGCTAATGAACATAGACACAAAATTCCTCAATAAAATACTGGCAAACAGAATGCAGCAAATCATTGAGAAGCTTATACACCACAATCAAGTGAGATTCATTCCAGAAATGTAGGAATGGTTCAACACATGCAAATCAATAAATATGCCATATCAATAGTCAGATAAGAATCACATGATCATCTCAGTAGATGCAGAAAAAGCTGGTGATAAAGTCCAACACTCATTCATGATAAAAACCCTACGGAAAATTGGAATAGAGCATCTTTACCCCAATCTGATAGAAGTCATCTATGACAAACCAACAGCCAGCATCGTGCTAAATGGTGAAAAACTAAAAGCTTCCACTCTAACAAGACCAGGTTGTCCACCATCACCACTCCTATTCAATACAGAGCTGGAAACATTAACCAAGCAATTAGCCAAGAGAGAAAAATAAAAGGAATAAGGATAGGAAAGGAAGAAGTTAAATTATTATTATTCGCAGATGACATTATACTCTACATTGAAGACTCCCAAAATTCCATTGAAATATTTCTAGATGTAATAACCAAATTCAGTAATGTAGCTGAATACAAAGTCAATACTCAAAAATCAATAGCCTTTCTGTACATACACAACAAACTCACTGAGCACGAAATAAGGGAAACCACGTTCTTCGCAATGGCATCCAAAAAAATGAAATACTTAGGAATCAATCTAACAAAGGAAGTAAAAGATCTATAGAAAATTACAGTACTGTGAAAACAAGAAATTGAAGAGGATTTTAGAAAATGGAAAGACATTCCTTGTTCATGGATAGGAAGAACAAACATTGTAAAAAATGGCCATTTCCCAAAATTGTGTATAGATTTAATGCAATTCCAATCAAAATACCATTAGCATGCATCACAGATCTAGAGAAATTGTTCCTAAAATTCATCTGGAACCAGGAAAGTCCAAGAATAGCAAAGGCAACTCTGGGCAAAAAGGCAAGGCAGGAGGCATCACAATCCCTGACTTGAAATTATATTACAAAGCTACTGTGACAAAATCAGGATGGTAGTGGAACAAAAACAGACCCGAAGGTCAATGGAATAGATTAGAAGATATAGTCACAATGAGAAACGTACTCAGCCACGTTATCTTTGATGAAGGGGCCAAACAGGTTCACTGGAAGAAAGATAGCCTCTTTAATAAGTGGTGCTGGAAAAATTGGCTTTCCATATGCCAAAAACTAAAACTAGACTGATACTTTATCACCATGCACCAAACTAAAGTCAGAGTGGATCAAAAATCTAAATATTAAAAACAGAAACACTAAATCTACTGGAAGCAAAGTAGGTAGCAATCCTGAAGACATGGGGGTAGGCAGAGAATTCATAAAGAAAACAAACAAAAAAAAAAAATCAAACTGCACAGGAAATATTACCCAGAATCAACAAGTGGGATCATGTCTTATTAAAAAGTTTTTGCATGTCAAAGAAATCTCCAACAGAGTAAAAAGTAAACCCAACAAATTGGGAAAAAATCTTGGTCGACTGTCGCACAAAGGACTTCTATCTAGAACATATAAAGAATTAAAGAAAATCAGGCTCCCATAATTCGAAGACCCAATCCATCAGATGGGCATCTGAGATGAAAAAATACAAACGGCAAATAAATATAGGAAAAAATGTTCAGGATCATTGGTCATTAGTGAAACACAAATTAAAATAACAGTAAGATTCCATCTCATTCCAGAAAGAATGGCCAGGATCAAGAAATCAACTAATAACAAACGCTAGATGGGCTGTGGGTAAAAATGAACTCTTTTACACTGTTGGTGAGTGTAGACTGGCACACCACTGTGGAAATCAGTGTGGAGATTCCTTAAAAATCTAAGATTAGAGGTCTCATTTGATTCAGCTATCCTGCTTCTGGCATATTCCCAGAAGAACTAAAAACATCATACTACAGTGATACATGCGCACCCATGTTTATTGCAGCACAATTTGCACTAGCTAAATCTTGGAAACAACCTAAATGCCCATCAACTGAGGAATGGATAAAAAAGATGTGGTATTGTTATACAATGGAGTACTACTCAGCTATAAAAAAGGATCATATTGAGGCTTTTTTATAGGTAATTGGATAGGACTTGAGACCATACTCATACGTGAAATAAATCAGCCTCACATGTGTATATTCCATATTGTCTACCTGGTGTAAGAAACTGAAAGAGTAAATAAAATCCAAAATCTTCAATATACATTATAAAAGGGTAAGAAACTGTTCAAAAGGGAAAAATAACATGGGTAGGAAAAGGAAAAAAGAAGGAAAGAAAAAAGATATACATTTGAGTATATACATACATAAGACAGCTAAGATGACTGTAGTAACAATTCTACTAGTCTTGAAACAACTGTTAATACACGATTAGATCAATCTGGGAATCTGAGCAACTCTTTTGAAGACAACTATGCAAAATAACAACCATTGTTAAATTCCTATCATCTTGTTTTGAAAGCCTAAAATATTACTGTTTTGGGTGTTTTGTTGGTTTGTTTGTCTTTTGTTTCTTGTTTTTTTCTGCCCTCTTTAAAAAAAAAAAAGATTTACTCAAGCTACATTAACCTTCTAATGTTTTTGTAGGGAGAACATCTAAGATCTACTTTTAGCTATTTCCTAGAACAGTTTAGTACTAACAGTTACCCCATGATGTACAACACGTCCCCAGAACAAGAGTCTGGTGCACACCAAGCTGGTCTGGAAGAAAAGCTTTTTGTGGCTGACTCACCTCAGGAGAGAGGTCGATATACCGGGAACATGTGGCCAAGGACCAATAAGGTTTTGTGTCTAGGGGGCAGGTTTTATGATCGAGCAGAACCAGTTTTACCCACCTGCCAATCCTAGAGGTAAGGAGAAGTTCTTGTCTGTACATCGCAATGAATGTTTACAAAGTATAGCTTTATACTAATTTTATATACATTAAGATTTTATAGCTTTAGTCATTGCTTTATAATCATTAAAAGTCTGAAGTTTTTCAGTTAACACTTTATTTAATGTTAGAAATACAGTTGTAATTGTGCCTGTAAATCTGAGGATTTACTAAAATCAAGGATGTACCAATCGCAGCAGACCCTGACTTACAAACCAATTGTTCCCCGAGGGCTCGCTGTAACTCAGGTTGTCACCTGAAGGCTCAAGTTCTCCATAGCCTTCAGAGTCTGTCCTGCACATCTCGGTGTGCTCAGAGAGATGTTGGCCCAGGATTTCTCAATCAATCTCACACAGGAAAAAATGTTGAATATTCCTTCCAGAACTCTTTAAAGGGTCAACTGTATCTGAGACCATCTAGAAGCACAGAGGCCACGATTCAGGTCATAACCCAAGACTTTGGTTGTAAGTTAAAATTAAAATTCTAATCTGTTACAGATTAAAAACTGGTGGTCAACTTAATGCCAGCTGAATGAAATCACTATGATGCTGAGCATCGATGTTCCACGTCAGGAAAGTTGCCAGCATAAATAAGAGACATGGAGAAGGAGAAGGGAAGCGTTGAGGGGTTGAGGTGTTGAGGCATTGAGGTTTCTCCTACATGTTGCTGTTTGAGCTCTTGGTTCTTCTGGAGAAGCTCTGGTCCTCACATCGAGCATTGCTTCCTGGCTCTGGAGGGGAAGACGTGTGCCGCTTGGTCTCCAGGATGAACTCGTCACACTGGCTTCCTGGCATGTGCTCAACTGTGCTTATCGTGAGAGGAGCTCGGGCCTCCGTGTCGCTGAGGATAGCTGTGGTGTTTTTCAGGACAGCTCTGGTCTTTATTATGAGTGTCACTTCTCAGCTTCAGTGTAGATCCCTTGACCTACCACACAGCTCCTTCACCCCGCTGGCACAGACTTTCTAGCTTCCACCGCTGACCTTTGGGCCTTCCAGTACAGATCCATAAAAGAGACTGGCGTGAGTCCTTCTTGTGGGCTCTAAACGTCTAGTTGGACTTGTGGGAAGCACTGTTATGAGACTTGGGTCTTCCTCTGGCCTCATGCAGGTCACTGCTGTGGGATTTAGGCCCTTGACTGAATATTTTATGTCTTTGGTGTTGTGGATAGATTTCCTATAGTTTCTTGTATTAACTCTGTGTGACCATCATAAAATAATATTATAAATTCCATGTCCTGATTTTAATTGTTCTCCTCACAACCTCTAACTACAACATGATCATAATCCAAGTGGTTCCTATGTCAGATGGGTCACAACTAGAGAATCCACTGTACATTCAAAAATGAAAGAACTCGGTCATGGTGCACACCTGTGATCCCAGCACTTAGGAGGCTAAGGCAAGAAGATGACATCAAGTTTAAGGCTGGCCTGGGCTACACAGTGAGTTTAAAGGGATCAAAACTATGTAGGAAGATCCTGTCTCAAAAAAAAGACAGAGAGTCAGTGAGAGAGAGAAAGGCCTACAAATCAGACAGGAAATCAGCAGGGAAGCCAAGGTTATCAGGGTTAATCCATACTTAGAGCCTCCTTCAGAGGCCACACAATAAGAATCATTCATAACCAAGTTCTAAGACCCTCAATAAAGCTGGGCATGGTGGCGCACACCTGTCATCCCAGTACTCGGTAGGCTGAGGCAGAACAATCATTGCAAGTTTGAGACCAATCTGTGCCACAAAGTGAGCTCAAGACCAGCCTAAACTACACAGCGAGATCCTGTCTCAAAAGAAAAAAAACCAAAAACAGAGAATCTCACTAAGACACAAAACTGCTTAACAGTAGGGAGCTCAATGTTTTACACCCCAACACCAGCCAGAAAAAGAATTTATCCCAAACCTTACAAAGCTCTGGTGCCCATGCATGTCACACTCTGTGCTGCTCATGTGGCAAAGCCTGTCCCGTAAGGTCCTGTCCCTCAACACATCATTCTCTGTCCCCCAAGACTCTCCACTCCAGTAATAATTAGCACTAGTATTAGGTACAGCAGGCAACGTGCAATCTTTTCCAAATGGAAATGGAAGAGCTCAATTTCCCATCCACAGAAGAAAAAATAAATATCAAGCCAAACAGAAAGTGCTCTGTAACAGCACAACAATGAAAACACACCCTGTTTCAGCAGCAGAGTAAACACCACTCATACAGGTATGATCTAGCAGCTACTTTACGGTAAATGGCCAAGAATGACTAAACACACATATGGAAGGTGAGGTCTCAAATCTGGCTTAGAGTAAGGCCAAAGAAAAATGCTAAATAAAGGGGAAAATGCATTGCTCTAGATTGTATAATATTCAGGATTTTAAAAACTGTACAAAAATCTATTTCATATTTCACAGCATGCACTAAAAATGGAGTCAGATAAAAGCTGGTAAGATAAATTTAGATACTATTCCAGGTACAGATGATTCAATGACTAATAAATGCTTAACATTAAGGCAATAATCTCAAGGAGAAGGAAAATGTTGCTATTACAGACTCGCTTTAAACTCACACATGCAGTCTGTAAGTAGGAGTTACCAGAAACTGCTTACTAGGTGAAATAATCTCCAGGCCCATTCTTCTTCCTGTTTGTTTGTATGACTATTTTCTAGTTCTCTAGACTCTATCAGAAAACATTTGCGGAATTATCTTTTGTTGCTATGTTCTTTTGTCACACATAATTTAGTAAAATAAGAATGTCTTACGGCTTGATACAGATTATTTTGGTTTAGTGGTTGTTGTCCATAAGCCACAGAATTCCTGTAGTTTAGTGGCACTGGAAAAAGAAGGAAAACACTTTCAAACTCACGGATGGGATGGTCTTGTTTATGTGACAGGAAAGCCCTGCACTCTTGTCAAGGAAACCAGGGAGGCCTCTTATGCGATTCCTGGCGGCAGCCCTGCCCATCCTCACTCCTCTGATGTAGCACTACTGTATTACTCCTACTCTAATTGTTTTGATCATTTCTTGTACCCTAACCACAACCTAAAAGGGTGCATTTCTGCACCCAAGTCAAACACTTCTTGAATTTCTCCACAAAGAGAGTAGCATTACCCAAGCAGTAGAGGTACCTTCCACCAAGTAACTACATCACCGCTCTAATGCCTGTTTTTCCTTCATTCCAATAGTTAAACTTTTAGTTGAGAATCAACCAGTAAGTAGAGTTCCAGCCTTCCCTGCCATTGGGTACCCATGTGATTAAACTCTGCCTAATGGAAAGCAAGCAGACGTGATTACGGACTGTTCCAGTGATCTTTCCTGTATAGTGCTGCGTCCTTTTGCCTTCCTTTCCTCATTCTATCCTTAATCTTGCCTGGAAAGGGATGTTGCCACTGAACTTGAAAATGAAGGCAATGTCAGGGAACCGGATGCAGGACTCCTCAAGACCTGATAAACACAGTCATCACGCAGCCCTAGGGAGCAAAGGTAACTTCTTCATGACAGATGAATAAACTCCAATCTTGCCTTAGCACAGTTAGGGTTGCACTGAACCTAATTCTAATCACAGTACTAATTACTTAATACTTAAGAAATACAGTCTAGGGGCTGGGGATTTAGCTCAGCGGCATAAGTGCCTACCTTGCAAGCACATGGTCATGAGTTCGATCCCCAGTACTGATTAAAAAAATAAAAAAAAGAAATACAATCTGCCAAGCACCACACCAAGTGCAGAAGCATACAAAAAAAAAAAAAATCTAAGTTCTTCTCAGATATTTAGAATGTTTCTTTCAACCAAGGAGGTAAATAAAAACAACCCAAAGAGGAGCATAAGCTCACAAGAAGGCTTACTGGGTGAATGTATAAGCACGCCTGGGGTTGGGGAAGAATTTAGTTTGAAGAGAGAAACTTACGTAAGGACATGAACGATTAGAACGCAGGGTGCAGAGGGCCAGTGCGATGTGAAGGACAATGACCTCTCTGTAATCCTAAGGCAGAAAGCAACATGACAGATATGCAAGGGGTGTCTGTCTGCACGATACCAGAGGGGCAAGGGACTGTGCAGTGCGCATGCCACGCACCACTGCCCACGGCAGACAGAAAAGTTGTTACAGGGCACCTTTGTGGCGAGATACCGCACAGGGCACTCTTGCAGCATGGCATGATACTGCTGAGGTAGGCCCCAGGGTGCAGGACACCACAGCAGCTCAGCACCATAACAGTACAACACTGTCATGCGGTGGCACCATCTCTGTGCTTGGCACCACCACACTTGCCTCACTGACCTGGTCGGGGAAGCACAATGTTTGGCCTCTCAAGTCTGTCATTTTCCCTCAGCCCATCCTGGGCTCCAGCCTAATGGACCACTCCCGGCTTCCTGCAAAGTCTGACTTCCATCACAGCTTCAAGGTTAGGCTAGCACAGAATCATGTAACGGAGTTGGAGCTCTAGATTCTAAATGGTAGGCCAAAAGTTAAAATCCTAGAAAGTTAAGAGTTTTAAAGGACCCTCAGAGACCCAACATCCTAAATTTACAGATGAAGAAAATGGGACTCTTAGGGCTTGTATCCAGACATTCCCCAAAGGCCTCATGTGGTCATAGGTAGGGCTTTGTGAAGGTGTCTAGATCTAGAGTATCTGATTAAGAATTTGATGCTGGGACTTAGACCCCAAAGGCGGGCAGACTGGACAGAATATAAGGGACAGAAAGATGGCTGCTGTCATTGCTACTTGTCACTTACTACTTGCTACACTGGCCGCTTTCTGCTTGTCATGAGCTGTTTCTCCTCTGTGATGCCCCTTGGCCATGACAGCCTGCCTTGGAGCCAGCTGACTATGGACTGATAGCTCTACAAACCATGAGCCAAAATAAACTTTTCCTTCTTTAAACTTGGATGTTAGATATTTTGTAACTAACACAGGGACCCAGAGAAAAGATGTCCATGTCGCACTGACAGGAAAGAGGCAGGGCCAGAGCCAGGTTCCAACTCCCCTCACTTCTTTAAGCTGACAAATTCAACTATTATTTTTGAATTTTTGAACACAGAAATTTATACACAAAAAGCTGTCATAAAGTTTCTTCATAAATTTCTCTTTTGGAAAATAGAGGGAAATCTCCCTTATATCCTCTAAAAGAAATTCTCTTATTTGCTCTACTTTTCTGTAAATTATCAAGAAAGACTCAAAGACTAATTTGTATGATGGTGCTCCAACTGGTTACAAGGCTTTCCCAATTAAAAAACGGAAAGAGTAGGCGGACTGCACTATAATATCACAATACACATTAGGTTAGTGTCTGGCCCTCTTAAGAGTTGGTTTAAAATTTTTTAAAAAAGACAAAACAACAAATAAAAATAAAACAAGACAAACAAAAAACTCAATCCTTTGCTACCTATGTGTAATCTATGTGGACCAAAAGTCCAGCATATCTGACTCTGAAACAGGATCTTTCATTCCAAATACTTACACTGCCAAAACAAACACACACACAAAAATGAACAGACTGTCCCAAAACAGTGCCTAAATATAAAGTTAAAGCAAACAGAAAACAATTCAGGAGTTTAAAAAGCAAACAGTTTATATAAGATTTGAGATAAAACAATGCGATAGCCTGATCAGAGGTTTTCTGGATTGTGTTTTTCTAAGACAGCCCAGGGTGACTGTCTTGAAGCATGGTTGAGTTCTTTGGATTCCCTCCTGCTTACCTCGGGCTCTGTGAAGCAGCAGCTTCTGCATGCACCCAGGGCTCCGCTCGTCAGCGAATCCTCACAGGCACCGTCTGAGTCACTTCTCCCTGTCCTCCCAGGATCCAGACACTAACTTCAGATGAGCCCCAGTGGGCATTATTCAGCTGGCTCCCAAGACCCAGTCCCTCGAACGTCTGCTTAGTGCCATGCCAAACACTGTGGTCACCAAGATGGGAAAGTCACAGCCCCACCCTCACAGAGTGAGTCCCACAAGGAAACTGATATGCAGACAAATAATAGCTGAATACAGTGAGTACTAGGTACAGGAGCCATTGCACAAAAGACAGAGTGGAGAAAGGGCCAGCAGAGTGGACCAGGTCAGTAAGGGAATGGACATCACAAAGGCCCAAAGGTATAATATTGACAATACACAGGCATCTGTAAATAATTATGGAGGACACTTTATGTAGGGCAGGGAGGGGTCCTGCCTCTAGTAGGAATTGACCTGCAGAGACTGGACAGCAAGAGATTCCCCAGAGTTCTGGCCCAGGGTAACTGTGCCACCCAAAGTGTCCAGTCCTTCTGTTACCTTCTAGCTTTCAATCTCTCCCTTTTACCTGAGCAGCTGGGGGAAAGACTGGGGAAATAACGACAATTAACAGTGGATAACACTGAATGAATGCTAACTGTATCAGGAAGTGTTCTTGGCATGTGTGTATGCCCGTCTAACCCTCGTAACTAGCCTACAACTTTGGTATCCTCATCGCTATTTTACAGATACTCAAGGTGACACAGTCAGGGAGGAGACAGCACGGGGACAGGAACACCAGCAGTCTGACTCCAGACCAAGTTACCACACCACTGTGTATTCCGAGAGGAGGACACTCCCTGAGATCCGAAAGCACAGATCTAAACACAAATGACCTCTGTAGCAGCCTAGTCTACCAGATGACTAACCACTCCGATTTCTTCAACCTCTCCACATGCTTTTTGGTGCATCTTTCCTGCTGTCAGGTTGCCTTTAATAGTTAGTTTAACCAGGTTTCACCAGTCTAAACCTGTGCTGTATAGTAGTTTATGGTATTAAGGGGGTGAGAGCCCGCTGGAGTAAGAATCAAGCATACATCACTTCCCAATGCTTTGTAAATAAAGTCCCCTAATACTTACCAAAATGTTAAAATAGACCCTCTTATAAGATTAAATGTAATTAGTTCTCTGCCATATAAATGTGTTCGAGTAAATCTCCTTTCCTTTATTTCCACCCCTATTCACTCTTTTCCCCTCTCTTTTCTCTCCCTTCTGTCCTCCTTCCTTCCCTCTTTTTCTCTCTGTTTCTGTCTGTCTGTCTCTGGCAAGATCTCCCTATCTTGACCAATCTGCCCTCAACCCGACTCCTCCAGCCTCACACTCCAGAGTAGCTAGGCTTATAGAGGTCAACCACCATGCTCCACCCTCATCCCATTTTACATTGTGCATGTTCCCAGCATATCTTGGCTTCTACAAACCGTTGAAGGCCAATTCCAATACTGTACTCCAAAAGACCCCCCTTCTTAGAAACTGCCTTCACCTTCAAGGAATTTCTATGAATTTAATGAGCTTGCTTGATTCTATTAAGCCACAGAACAAAGCTCAACAGTTAACAGAAACATGAGAATAATCAACTTTTCTACATGAGGTCATTTTCAAGGTAAGACTGAGGGGGAGATTGGTATTGCAGATGCTACTCAGTTGGCAATTACTCTGAACATCACTGGTAATTCTCTCCCCTTGAAAAAGAGAAAAAATCCTTATTTTTTGTAAGTAAAATAATATTTGGCCTAAAATGAAGCATGAGTCAAAGACAATTCTATGTTTAATCAGTACACTCAATCAGTATGTTTCATTCCATGGTTACTAAACCTGTGTCAGTAGGCAAGATAAAGCAAGTAAGCTACTTGGAGATTTAACTACTCCTCTGGTTCCTAAAGGTTCCTAAGCGCCTGCTTCTCACACCGTAACACTGGGCATAGGGAAGGACTGGGCCAGACCTATTTCTAAGGCACAGGAGCAGAGAGTACTATTCCCCAAGTCACCAGCAGGCAGGGAGCTAGCACAGTGCACCTCTCGCTTTGTGATGCAACCCAATTAAGAATAAGCAAAACCACCAAAATTGGGGCCCAAGCAGCAGAGTTACAATCTAAGACGAGCTGCTGCTCTCCATATGATCTATCCTGAGTCAGAATAGCTACATGGTGAGAAAATAGAGCCACTTCCCTTGACACCAAAAAGGGAGGGAAACAAGGATTAATACTGGCACGACTCCTGCCTTTTCTTGTTTTCCTACAACACCAAATAATTAAGTCTTATTTTCCTTCTATGTCCAGTGTTAAGAATCATATATTGAATGGAGACCTGTATATGGGGCAAGAGAGAAATTAAATAAGCTGCCAGGAAATTACTCATTCTGATTCAACAGCAATTCTGTATTGATTTTCTGATATTTAAATATAAATGTTTATTCAATCAGTAGATACCTATTGAGTCCTTTCTATGTGCAGCACTGTTCTAGGAAGTGAATATACCAAAGAATAAAGCAAAAATTTTTGCCTGGAGCATACATTCTAATAGGAGATAGATAAACAGTAACACAGTAAATTAAATGGTATGACATGTGCTATAGAAAAAAACAGCTGGGGATGTAGCTGAGTATTGTAACACTTGCCTAGCATCACAAGGTTTTAAGTTTGATCCCCAGCAAAATACACACACACACACACACACACAAAGGAACAGAGTAATGTGCTCAGGAGGGCAACAAACTAGAGATTTGCATCAGTAAAAACAGTGGCCAGTATAATGTTAAGTGAAATGAATCAGGCACACAAGCTTAAATATCACATGACTTCTCTTACATAAAAACCCAAATTACAAATAAAGCACAAAATAAAAGACAGAAAATAGGAAACAGAGAGTTAGATCTTTTGCAAATGACTAAAAGAAGGAGAGGAGAGGACAGGGAGTGATCAGAACATGACTAACTGAGGTGCTATTTAGTTAACACTTGAAGGAGAGGAAGGATTGCTTATGTATTAGCTTTCTGGCCACTGAGACACAATACCAACACCCACAACCTAGAGGAAGAGAGGTTTAATTTACAGTTTCATTCCATAATTAGCTGACTCCAAGGCAGAGACAATTACAGTGGAAGGATTTGCTGGAGCAAAGCTCTTAGTCTGTGGTAGCCAAGAGGCAAAGTAGAACAAAATACTAGAGCAGAGGGGCCAGCAACCAGGCACAGACCTCAGGCCAGGCTTTCACAACCCTTCTAAAAGTGAGCACCAATTCCCAAGGCTGATCCCAACCCAACCAAGCTGAAACTCCATGCTAACCCTACAGCAAATTTCAGGGAATAACTTGCTACTGCAAAGGATTTAAAATAGATCAAACACTACTATCTCGGAGAACTCTGCCTAACCTTGGTCTCTTCAAAGAAGTTTCATATTTAGATCTGTGGTCCATTTGGAGTTTGTTTTTATACAAAATGTGTTCTAGGTTAAGGTTTGCATTTTCTGGCCACCGGTGCCAAAACTGCTATAGAATTATTTATGGAAAAGGCCATTTCTAAAACTCCTTTACAAAAATAGTTGGAAATACCTGTGTGAGTCTATTTCTGGATTCTCTTTTCTGTTTTACTGATCTGTGTATATGTATCTCTGCAAATGTACATTTCCGACTACTATAGCTATAGCCTAAGTTGTTTTGGTTTGGTTCTTTGAGACAGAGTCTCACTAGGTAGATCAGGCTAGCTCTGAATTCCCTGTGTAGCCTGGCGCCATGGCCTTGAGTTCACAGTGATCCTTCTGCCTCAGCTCCCCCAGCTGGGATCACAGATATCCTGTTTCTAGCTTAAGTTTTAAATGGGGTAGTATAATTAGCCACTAAAGATTTAAACGTGACTTCCCTCTTAAGGGAAGAGGTGAGAATACACTATCTGGGTCAAGGGAGATCAGGTAAAAGATACGGTGGTTTTATTGGCAACAGCACAAGTAATAGAAATTGGTCAGATTCTTATTATCTTACAAAAATTAAGACAACCAAAGGGGTGTGAGAGAAAGAAAAGAGTCAAGTGTGATCCCAAGGTCTCTGCTCTGAGCAACAAGATGCCACTGATTGAGGTGGAAAAAGACAAAGAAAGAGCAAGTCTTAGAATTAAAACAAACAAACAAAAAAACTAGATACTCAGTTTTTAGTAAGGTTTGATAATCGATAGACGCCTAAGTGGAGATGTGATGTAGACTGGGATTCAAGAATCCAGTGCTCAGGAGAGTCATCAATACAGTTAAAACCAGGACACTGGATGAGACAGGAGAGAATGACAAACCTTTGACTTCAGGGTTTCAACACTGAGGTCAGAGATAAGAGAAAGCAAAACAGAAGACAAAAAACCTGACCAGAGATAAAAGGCAACCAGAAGGGGATGGCGGTCAGGAGCCAATGCAGAAAGAGCGGTGACTTCTAACAGCGGTGACCATGTATGTCAGGTCCTGCTGATAAGTCAGAGAACCGAGCAGTGACAAGCGGTGTCACAGCAGATCGTGGCAAGAACAGTTCTGCTACACTGGCATGTTTTCAAAGAACAGAAGAGATGGATTGGAGGCATAAAGGAGAGGATTTGGAATCAGGAGGCCCAAGAGTCCTTTCACGTGCTTCACTACACAGGAGAGCAAAAAATGAGGAACCACAAGTTGAGTGCCCAAGTTGTAATGTGTGTTTTAGGATAGAGGGGAAAGCTAGTATGCTTGAATACTGATGAGAGCGACCCAGTGGGATAAAGGACAAGCTAAGGGACTTGCATGCTAAGGAGAGAATGACCAAAGAAAAGTCACCGGTTGACAGAGTACACAGTGTACACATGGACACTGGCTTTGGCGGAAAAGCCAGGAAAATGCACAGCAAAGTGCTTCCTTCCACCAGCTGCCCTTTCCAAGTGCGCGGCAGGCTTGCTGAACATCAGTCTTGTATTCCTTCCTCTGAGGTTACATCACGATCCAGAATTTCTCAGAAGTCCCCCTGGCACTAAATGACAAATCCTCCGGGCCAGAATTTCCGCGAAGGCAATACGACTATGTGTGACAACTGTGTGAAGGGGTGGGGGCTAAAAGACAGTAAAGCATAAGGCTGCACCTGTATTCCTCCACTGGACGCCACCACTGAAGGATTATCTTCCCAGCACTCACTACGGGGCCCAGCAGACAGCAAGGAGAAGCCAGATGAAATACCTGCTATCTGAGGCAGAGGGAAGCCCAGACAAGGAAAGCAGCTGATCCTGGTTGATAAAAGTGCTAGAAGAAACATAAAAGAGAAAGATATGAGAGAACATTATCTTCCTTGGGCTGGAATATGGAGCTGTGACCTAGAGAGCGGCGATCAAGGAAACACAGGCTGAAAGGAGTAGAAAAAGGGTTTTGAGGCAGAAACAAGCTAGGATGGTTTGAGAAATAGAAAGGGCATGGTGGGAGGTGATGGGATACACTCCTAGCAGAGCAGGGAGAGGCAGGCAGCGCCAATCATGGGGGCTTCTTAAAACTGGGCAGAGAGATCAGCTGTTACAGTACACATAACAGGAAAACACTAAAAGGAATTAAACAGAGAAGTGACCTCTTCTGCAAGATGAAGTTTACTTTTTTCCTTCTTCTTCTATAAAGCACATTAATGTATGATGCATCTATGACTTGAGCTGAGCGCCACCACCCATTGGAGCGAACCAATGGAATACTGGGGACTTCCTCCACAGGGCCGCTGTGGGACACGCACAGAACAGATTCCAGGGCTTGTGCTCAGAGTCTGGGGAGAGAATGGTGTCCTGCCAACTTGGGTGGCTATGACAGGTCAACAGCAGCGGAATATAGGGAATATAGCAAGAGATGGGAGCTGAAGACAGAAAGAAGCAGCTGGACGCCCTGCAGCTGTCATCAGAGCAGTGACTTCATCAGATTTCCAGGTAGAATGGGCTCTCCCAGGCCAGTTACTCAAGAGACATCATTCAAACAACCTTACCGTCCTCACCTGCCTGAGACACGTGGCAGCCTCTTCCTAACCCCTCAGGTGCTGAAGAGCAGGCCCAGGGAGGTCTTCCATGCAGGAACAAACTGACCCAAGACTCTTCAAACCCCCATGAGAAGCAGGAAGGGTGGCTTCCTTCATCTTCTAGATAGCAACACAGTAAAGTGACAACAGATGGAAGGGAAAAGGCACATCTCTCTTTTAACTAACAAGGGTTTCACTGTTCTCCACTATCACCACTTCGTGTTGTTTTCTCCCTGGCTCCTACAGAGAATTCCCAACATGAGGCAAAAACCTCAGAGCAAGTAACAGCGGCTCTGTAGAAGACATGGCTTCTTTCTCTTAAAACTGTGCTGGTTCTCTTCAAAGCACCTCAGGATTTGTGCCTTGTTGGCAGTCAGCCCTGAAGAACTGGGGCTGTGCTCCTTCCTGCCAAGACTTGAACAACTTCCCTCCACCACAGATTCAGAGGTCAGGTTGGATGATTAAAAAATGCAAAGATGGTCTGATGCATAAAAAAGCATTTACCCACTATCTACTACAGAATCAGTGTTAATGACCACAGAGAAGTGTTCACTGATAAGATACTGTTATTAGCTTACTCGGGAGGGACAGAGGAGGAAGGGATCGCTGAAGGGCGTTATACTTAATACTTCCTGATGAAGATGGAGAGAGGAAAAAGCAGGCTGGACCTATTCCATGTCCTGGTCAGTGGTAGACACAACTGCACAAAGCCTGATGAACAATTCTGCCAAACAATGGCAGGCATTAGAAGAAACAAGCTGGAAACATACCCCCCTATTTGAGGTTTTCAAATAGAGATGCCTGAGTTCTTCCACTTCTAACAATTAGGAAGCCAGGTAAAAGTGACTGACTTTCATGGAGCCTGGCAGGTGTCACCGTCATCTGCTTCCTGCTCCTCTCTGTGTGTCCAACGTTCACTCCGCTTCCAGTGCCTCCCCAGCATTAGTGCTGGTTGGAGTGCCACTGTTTTAGCATGGGTCTGACCAGAAGCATAATTCTGTAACTTCCATCCGTCATCCACAGCAATGTCAGCTCTCCCTAACAGTAAGCCATTTACCAACAGGCTGCAGAAGCCGGATTCTGTGTGTTCAAGTGAACTGAGTCTGCCCCAACCCATCTTTAACTCATTCTCCCACCTCCCACATTAGAATTTACTAAAAGGTGTAAGGAGCTAGTTAATAAATATACCTAATTGTACACTGTCATGAAAATTAAGTTCCAAGATGGGGGGTACATATTAAAAAAAAAAGGAATGTCTTTGGGCCACTGCCATTTAGATTCCCATTCAGTGTGCTGTCATCTCTGTATACTTTTCTGATGACTTTGAACCTTTAGACAAGGAAAGTGATAATGATGACTAACGTTTTCCGCAAGATAGACAAAGTATTACTCTCTGCAACTGCACGTTTAAGAGAATGTGTATGTTCAGGGTGCTAACTTTTCTGTGCATTCACTTTCTAACACATATGCAAATAATTTAAGAGCAGAGGTGGACAAGCAACATTACAAACAAGTTTGTTAGTTACTAAGAGAACTAAGATCCAGGAAAATTAACTCAATGTGTGAGCCTTTATGTGTTGTCACTAGGACCACGATATTCCAGATCATGTTGTTAACACATATCAAAGTACTGTATGAAGTATACATCCTTTCATCCAAGATTCTTACTTACAAAGAATTACCATAAATCACAGGTAGAAAGCTAAACAAAACAACATACAAGAGAGAGGTGATTACATGTGTTATGATCCATCTACACAATGAGGCAGCCAGGAAAAATATGATCAGGAAATATACGATCACTGAAATAAAATGGCATCTTCAATATAGAATTCAGTGAGAAAAGCTTACCAAATAGCAAGGAGAGATCTTTCCATTTATGTAAAACACATCCCTGAGCAAACATGTATGTGTACAGAGCTCTCTGGAGAACATTCACCCACCAGGTCCTGGTGTCCATCTCTGGGGAGTGGAGTTCTAGACAGCTTTGACTTTTTCCTTGTACGTTCCCATTTCATGCAATTCCTTATAATGACCATGTATTCCTTCTCCCACAAACCAACAAAATTATACATGTTTTAAAGCTCCAGAAAGGCAATGAGCATAAAGCATATTTCTGGAAAGCCAAATTTGAGGTAAATATGTATATTTTGATTTGTTTCTTTACTAATGGTGAACACCATAACTTCTGAGATCTGTTTTCTAAGGTAAACATGGATCTATCATAAAAATTAATGAAAAAATTTACAAGAAAAAAAACTTTTTTTTCTAGGGCTGGGGATTGAATCCAAGACCCTGCACATGCTATGGAAGTATTATTTTCTACCAATGAGCTACATCTTCAGTCCTACAAAAACTTTTTAATCAAAATATGTAGTCACGTGAATGCCTTCTCTTTACACAATTTCCCAGCATCTTCACTCAAATCACTTCTCTCTGTGTTCACAGACCTGAGGGATTTGTGAACTGACGGAAAAGTCACCACTTTGGACTGAAGGAACTGATTTAGACAATACTTGCCTAATTACCTGCCTAACACTAAGACCCGAGCTAGTTTTCCTGGTCCCAATCCAACACCTCCTGTAAGTGTTGAATAGGATCAGTGTTGCTCCCGCTGCCGTAACCAGACAGAAACTTACCGTCACCTTCCATGGTTGTAGATTTCTCCAGTAAGGTATTCACAATAAGTAACGATTAGCGCATTATTTCTTGGTTTGCCCAAAGTGGCATAACTTGTTTTCCCTTCTTTGTGTATAATTTCATCCACTTTAAACATAAAAAACAAAACAACATTTTGGGGGGTGTGTTCATGTTGTTTTGTTTCCCTTATTTCAAAACAAAGTAGCCTCTACCAACCTTTTTGCAAAAGTAGCAACAGGTTACCAAAAGAAAAAGTAGAAACACAAAAGGTGGCCTTGAGAGATGAGGTTTCTCTCAAGATAGCTAAGTTACTATTAAAAGCACATGTAGCAATCAATGGCTTTCAGTAGCATGAGAATAAAACCCTAGCAAACTTCTTGCAAAAAGTAAAGAAAGGCATTTAGTATGTTAGTCCTAAAAATGGAAATTCTATCAATGGTAAAGTAAGTGTTTTTCACAATTAAAGAAACAAAGCCTAAATAGTCACACTGTCTTCCATGATCTCTGGAAGACCATAGGGCCCCCAGGCTCAGAACCCTCAGTCTACACAATTTAGGAAGCCAAACTCCATGAAAAATAACAAAAAGTATACTTCCTACAAGGAGACCTGTTTAAGCCTGAAAAAGCCACAGTGAATAAGGAGCCAACAACTTTTGTGAGACAGCAGGCTGTCAAAGAATATTTTAAGACTCAGCCACAGGAGTCATTCAGAATTTCCAAACCAGTAAAAAAAATTCTAAAAGAAACAAATTTCATTTTTGAAATAAATGTTCGGAGTTATCTATTTCATATATTAAACACTAACTTTAAATGAAACTGGTAACTAAATAACTGCAATAACATCATACAATGATATTTGCACAGCTCTACTGCAAAGTGAATAAATGGTGCTGTCCAAATCCCAGGTAGGGAAATACAAACCACCCTTCCATCCTAAAAGGATGAAATCTTTATTTCAAATAATTCTCTTGAACTTTGGTAATCATTAACCCAGCTAAATAAATAATCAGATATGATAAGACTCAATCTCATAAATACAATCTAGAAAAGTAGATGTCAGGACTGAAACAAAAAACCAGACTTGATGTAGGCAAGTATCACAATCCTGTTAGCAGGTATTAAAAGTAGCCAAACATCTGCAGGCTATTTAGACTGACCTCAGTAATAAGCCTGCCCACACACTGTGATTTCCAACCCCCCCCCCCCCCCCGCACTGAACAACAGAACAGAGCTTATTTCAGGACCACAGAGTTCATATTGCATAACAAAAAAGCTTTAATTTCTGCTCTTGACCAGAAAGATAATTTTGATAATAGTTTCCTGTTTCAACACCATACATCAGATTTATGTCTTTATCTAAAAACGCATGTTAAACATTCAGTGACATACGGGGTTGCAGCAACAAAAATCACATCCCCAACCTTGACCCCCACCCACTGCAGTAAAAATTCACAAATGAATAAAAACACCTGCTGTCAGGCTATGAATTTAACACCCACTGCTCTGTTTAATTCTTATGATAATTGCAAGAAGCGGGCACAGAGAAGGACAGTGGGGAGCAGAGGAACCCCTCTGACATCACACTTTGTGTCTTAACGGGAAAGTAGAGGGTTTTTTTTCCATATTTAAATAAATTAGGGAAAGATAGGTCATTGCTTAGTTAACATGTTTAGAGAAATTTCTGGAGCCTTGAAAACAAAAAAGAAAAAGGCATAGGAGGAAGAGGTCAGACATTCTTGGATCATTTCTCTGATTTAAAGCTAAGTAATAGATAAACAGCACTGACCTAATAAATAATGGAAACCAGGCAGATCTAGGAAGAAGGAAAACTGTGCAGCAGTGTGTCCTGCTAATGGTCTGATTGAAGGCAACCCAAGTGGGCACAAAAAGCACCTTGGGGAACTCTGGAACCCTTGTGTACTCAAGGGTCAGACCCCAAAGCTAAGGCCATGCTCAGGGGTAGGAAGCCAGCAACTAAGACACTACATAAAGCAAGAAGTGGCCAAGAAGTTTAGTGTTACTTGCTGTTATTACTAATAGTCTTTTCTTCCTTATGTATTTATCTCCTGAAAAAAATCTATCCTTAACAGTTGTGCACAATGTTTTAGAACTGTGATTCTCAACCAGAAGCAACTGTATGTCAGTAGGAACATGTGGTAACGTCTGGAAACTGTCTTGTCACAGCTGGGGAAAGGGTGTTGGGACACCTACAAGGCAGAGACCAGGGAGGCTGCTCAGTATACTGCAGTGAGCAGGAAAGACCAGAAACAGGAATTATCTGGCCCTCATGAAAGACCTTGTTTCAGAGAAAGGTACAAGGTGCGTTAGAATTGTTTATGGGGGCTGGGTTTCTTCACAATACAAAATATCCCAATATTCTTCCACAATTGCTACTGTGAACACACAGAACTGAAGTGCACAGTACATCTTACAATTTCAGAATTACTTATACCATTGGGGAGAGCAAAGGGACAACTGGACAGGAAGCTGAGAGTTACATGGACCCAATGTCATCAGACAGGACTGGTAGCTTATTTTTTATTTTGCCCAAATCCATTTTATTTCAAGGAGAAAAAGAAAAAGACAGAAGAAAACAAAAAAGCGAAAACAAAATTTCAAAACATGTTAAATCAAGGGGCAATCATGGTACATACATTGCTCATTGCCATTCCCATTCACCCAGAGCACAAGACATCTGCATCCAACTGTCTGAACAATCCCAGCACAAATCTTTCTCTTCAGCGAACTCAGAGAAATCAGTAGTATAACTATCTTAACTATTTTTTATATGTATATACATGTATTGCTTCAGCTTCTCACACTAATGAGACAAGACAATGTTTACACACGTGTGTCCTATTTATTTTGCTAGTGAGTATGCTCTCAGGTTGCATCCTATAAAAGTCTCAAGGACTGGTAGTTTAATAAACTATAATGGCAAGTACACTCTGTGGCTTAGAAGCAGGGAGAACAGATCTGATGCCATGCTGTTCCCTTTCCTAACTAAATCAGAACACAAATTTTATCTTCTGGCACTCTGCCAAATGACAACTGAAAAGTAAAATGTCTTACCAAGACATATCAATTCCAATCATTAAAAAAAAATCTTTTCTACTTTTGTCCTAACTCGCATTCTCTGACAAACAAAAATCCCTTTATTGAAACTACAGCTAAATGAAATCCAGCTAAATAAAAAAAGGTCTCCTCTTTTGGTTCATTCCTCCCTCAAAACAAGAACAAAGAACACTGTGAATTATTTTCATCACTTTTTGTTCTCATTTACTGGGAGTGAAGCGTGGGAAAGTTTTATGATTCAAAAACTTCCTCCAAACAATGAAACACATCCAGAAGCAGTAAAGCGTTACCAGAAACATCCCTTAGGTTGTACTGCAGAAATTAAAATTTAATGCAAAGAACCTTAGCAAAGGAATGTCATACTTTGAGTTAAGCAAAGTTATTCTACAACTCCCAAAGTTGGTTAAGGATCAGTTCCTACTGGCAGACGTCACTCATTTGCCTGTCCTCTTCCCAGGTCCTTCCAAAGGCACACACCACCCAGTGCTAACCCTTGTATGCCAAAGCGCCACGGGATGAAACTGATCACTGAGCCTCTGCTAGGTGAACACTGGTGGCTGCAGCGTAGATGGGAGGGTGGGCTCATGGGTGTCAGAGGAGAGCAGTCTGCGCCTGCCCCATCCACTCCGATCCCAGGGACCTTTCTCGCTTGACCCTACTATTCTGGGGACCTTCAGCCATTTGGTACTAGAAGTCCATTCCCGGAATAACATTGGTGGATCGACGTCAGTTCCAGATGGAGCCAGTCTATTCAAACTCAAGGCTAAAATGAGGCTTTTAAAAATCCTTCGGTAATTGCACTCTCTCCTACAAAGTGTAGGCAGGGAGCATTCTAGGACTTCCCTGCCCCGGTCTCAGGATCCAGATTCGGCTGTACAAGTACTGCAGACCATTCGGCGGGCTAAGTGGCTCAACCCAGGCCATGATGACGCACGCTTGTAACCCTAGCACTTGGGAGGTTGAGGCAGGAGAATCAGAGAGTTCGAGGCTAGCCTGGGCTACACAGTTAAAAGCTAGCTTAGACCATAATGCAAGACTCTGTCTGAAAAACAAAATACCTAAATGAGATGGTTCAAGCAGCAGGGACGTTGTACTAGGGAGCACGTTTAGTGCACAAATGTGCAGATGCGGGGACCGTTCCCAGGTGCGCACACACAAATGCACACTCAAGGCGCAGACTCGAGGCGCAGTCTAGGCCACTGCGCCCCGAGAGACACGCTCCCGGCCACGCTCCCGGCGCCCCCTACCGAGGTCGCACTCCTCAACTCACCTCTTCTAGAAAGCGGGTCAAATCGTACACCTTGTGGTGCAGGATCACCCAGGTGCTTTTGCTATCTTTGTGCTTCTCAATCTCTTCCAAGGTGTAGTACTTTACAGCCTGCTCCTCCTGTCCGGCCATCTCGGTTTGTAACGAGCCACCCCAGGTCCAGAACACACAGCCACGTAGGGTGCACCACAGCGCTCGTCTCAGCCACCTCCACCCGGGACATTCCCCGTGCGTCTTGGCTGGTGCCCAGGACTTGGCGAAGGCGCAAAGGGGGCGCGGACGAGGCACGGCTTCTGAAGATTGGCCAGTATTCTAGTCACTCAAGAGGCCCCGCCCTCGGCCGAGCCCCTCCTCCAGTCCCGGCGCGCCCCCGCCCAGTGCGCGGATGTTGATTGGCTGTGAAAGCTGCGTTTCGCAATCACCCGCTGCTAGTGCGTGGAAGGCAGTTTAGTGGAGACTGCTCAGCTAAAGGCGGAGAGGCTCTTGAACTCGCGCAGGTCTGGGCTCTGCTAGTGGGCTAGGGACAGGCGCTTGGACTCTTGCTATGCGAGGTGAGGTGGATGGGGCTTTTGAAAACTCCATGCTTGTGAGGACAACCATGGCAGCACAGGAGTGTTTCCTAATGAGATCGTATCAACTTCTATAATACCGGTTAGCTTTAGTGCGTAGGTAACACGTGAATGCTTTATTTCACATCAAACAACAAAAATACAATCCTGGAATAATTTCCAAGAAAGTCAGGAAGTTGTTTTTTTTAACTTTTAAATTTTAAATAATTGTAAATTCAAAGGAAGTTGTAATATACAGAGATGTTCTGAAAACCGTTAACCCATTGCCCTTCAATGGCTACATGTTAATGTAACTGTAATGCAGTATCAAACCAGGAAATGAATGTTGACACAGTAGGTATATGTATTCTTCCATCCTGTTTTAAAACTTGTGTAACCTTCATCTCAATCAATATGCAGAGATGTTTCATCACCACCACGATCAAGCTAGAGATATCCCATTTGGGCACTTTCACTTCCTTTCAATGTGATACCTAACCCCTGCCAACCAGGTAAAGGCTTCCCTTCTATGTAATATTGGCATTTCAAGATGTTATATAAATGTATTAGTTAAGTTTCACTAAAGTATACATTTAATATTAAAGTATATGTTATATGTATTTATATATAGGATTTACCAGGAAAGCTTACAATAGCTGCCTGTGGACAGGGGTGGAAGAATGCATAATGGCCATCTGCAAGGATCCAGTCAAAAGTGGAAGGCCTAAAGCTCTCTGCAGAATCCATCATGAGTCCTTGTCAAAAGGGCTAAGGGCCTGCATTGGGAGGAACTGTAGAAGAATGTCCAGAGGCAATAAAGGCAAAAGGTCCTCCAAGGAAGCAAAGAGAAGACCTCCTTTTCCATTCCCTGTTTATTCTGTCGAGGCTACAAGCCTAGCTGGTGGTTGCCATCCATGCCAAGGGTCAGTTTACCTTCCTGTTTGTGGCTTACATGTCTATATCCATTGGTACACTCAAAACTGTGCCCCATGAGGCAATCTTAATTCCAGTTGACTTTTCAAGTTTGTTTATATCTAGATGCCCTCCGATACCTCATGTACTCATAGTTGGGACTTTTGGGAGGAGATTGGATTATGGAGGTGTGATAGATTAGTGTACTAATGAGATTATGCCTAAATGTGATGCTGGGAGCAGAAACCTGGTTGAGGAAGTGGCCCACTGGGCCCAACAGTGTCCTGGAAGGATACAGTATCTCTCCCCCTCCCCACTTAATGTCTGTCTGCTTCTATGCAATGAACTGTTTCTCTACTATTGTGCTCGACTGCCATGGAGCCAGCCAGATATCGACTGAAGCTTTTACAAACTGTGAGCTAAAATAAACCTCTCCTCCTTTAATTTGTGGGTGTAGGTATTTTTGCTCCAGCAACAAGGGAAGTAATTTATTATAAGGTTTATATAAAGTATTTATCCACATTACAGACAGTACTCTCCATATTATCAGAAGGGGAAATCACAGCAGCTTCAAGTCTCATCAAATTAGCCAATTCCAATTTGATTGTATAAAGGATTTACTAAGAAGACTTACAGTGCCTACCTGTGGAATTAGAGTAAAAAAATGCAAAACATCTGCCTGCATGCTGGACAGCCACAAGGCAACTCAAAGGTCAAAATTCTGGAGCTCATAGCAGAGTCCTGTGCAAGTCCACGTTGGAAAGTCAGAGTCTACAATGGAAGACTGAAAACTGTCCTGCAAGTCTGAAAGAACTACAGATGAATGTCCAAAGACAGTTATAACTAAAGATCCTTCAAAGAAATGAAGGGAATACTTCCTTCTTTCCTTTCTTATTCTGTCTAAGCTACAAGCCTGTTGGTTGATGTCACCCACATCAAGGGTGGGTCTTTCCTCCTCAGTCTGCAGCCTACATGTCAGATATCCATTGATATACCCAAATTGACGTGTCACAGTTAATGATCACAATAACTGGAGATTGGTTTTTTTTTTATCCCCTGAATGCCTTGAGACCCATACAAGCTGTATATATCAGTACTCTATAACTTTTGATTACTAGGTTTTACAGCATGGTATAGATGTTCTGTGATATCACAGCTTGTTTTAATCACTCACTTGTTGAGGACTATTTCCATTATTTTCATTTTTTGGTTACTATAACAATGTTGCTATGAACAGTCATACAGGTTTATATGAATGAAAGGTTTTTTACTACACTAAATTCCAAGAATGTGGCCGTTGAGAAATGCAACTAAGTATATATCTAATTTTTAGGAACTGCCAATCTTCCACAATATGTATAGCATTTCATTTACCTACCAGCATTCCATGACAGATCTCATTTTTGCATATCTTTACCAACATTTGGTATTGTCATTCTTTTTATATTAAATATTTTTTCTTGTTTATTTGAGACACAGTCTTACTATGTAGTTCACGCTGGTCTTGATTTCATTGTGTAGCACAAACTGGCCTTCAACTCAAGGCAATCCTCCTGCCTCAGCCTCCTGAGTACTGGGAATACAGGCATGCACCATCACAGCCAGAATTACATGTTCTAATAATGTATAGAATTGTGGTCCTTATTTGGACCATTTTGACATATGCTTATCTGCCACTTGTCTTTCTTAGTGAAATATCTCTTCGGGTCTATTGCCCTTTTTGAAACTGAGCTTTTTGTCAGGGACCAGGCCAAGATCCAAGCTGCCTACATGAGGGGTACAGCAAAAGGATGAAGTAAGGGACAGACAAAGTAAATCATGACAGGAGCTGGGAGATGAAAGCCTCAAGATGGGCAGAGACAAAGACGCTCTGAGCTGCCATTGGGTGCACACATAACAGGTGGGAGTATTGGATGACTCAGAGGAAGGCATGATCTTAATGCAGATGAGCATCTTAAGGTGGTGAGGATCAGTTCAGAAGAGGGCAGTGAAATGTGCAAGGCATTTTTACAATAGCAGGTGGGAAAAGGCAGCAGGCAAATTAGGAGTTCCTCCTTGCCCCCAAGTGAAAACTGTTTTTGTTACTATTTGGTTCTCAAGGAACCAGGATGTTTTCAGCTGATGTAATCTTGCCCTGGAATATCATAGCATCACAGAACCATTTGTCGCAGCTGGGTGGTAGGTCAAGATAGTGGGCCTCAGATAAGCCCTAGCCACAATTTAATTATGAAATTATTTCTCCCCCAAAATTATATAGAACAGTTTTAGACAGCTTTTTAATGTTGAGGTTTTTGATAGCTTGCTTTATGCATATACTAGATATAAGCCCATAGTCAGATATGTGGTTTGGAAACATTTTCTCTAAATTTCTCGCTGTATTATTAGCCTTTCTCAAAGCTTCATTTTTAAATTTGAAAAGGTATCATTTATTACTTTTTTCTTTTATTGTGCTTTTAGTGTTATATCTAAGAACTCTACAAAGTCATAGTTAAAACTAATTTCTCATCTGTTGCTTTCTAAAAATGTTATAGTCTTGCATTTTTGTAATTCTTTCTTTGAGATATGATATGACTGTGTTACCTTGGTCTCAATTCCTGGGTTTGAGATCCTCCTGCTTAAACCTCAAGAGCAAGTGAGAATATAGACATATACTATTACACTCAGTTTGCAGTACATCAGAGTTAACATTTTTGTATGTGAGGAATGAGAACTGCAATAAATTTCATTTTGCTTTTTTTTTTTTTTTTTTTCTGTTTTCTTTTTCGGTACCAGGGATCGAACTCACAACCGCCTGCTTGCATGGCAGGTGCTTCTGCCGCTGAGCTAAATCCCCAGTCCATGAATTTCATTTTGCTTCAATTAAACTGCTCAAGCACATTTGTTGAAAAGACTATCATGGGGAAAGAATGATTTCTTGTACATCTCCCCAGTAGTTCTCATGTGAACTACTTGGCTATATTTAAGAACAAAATCCAAGAACTGATTAATGAGATGGTCACATTGCATTAATTTTATATGTACACGAGAACTTCAAAAAGTGAATTCTGAAGAAATGACCAAAACATGATGCTTTTATACTTTTTTAAAATAAAGAGCAGTAAATTTATGAAGAATGTCAGAACAGATCTCTGGATCATAGTGGTGTCTTAACTACTTTCTCACTGCTGAGACAAAATACTGAACACCCAAAGTTAAAGAAGGAAAGGTTTATTTGGCTCACAGTTTGTAGAGGTTTTTGTTCACAATCAGCTGGATCCAAAGAACAGTGGCATGGAAGACAGGCATCACAGAGCAAATATAGTTCATGATGAGCAGAAGATAGCAAAACAAAAGAGTCAAACATAGCCTTTCTATCCCTTATATCTTACCCAGGTTATGAAGGGTGGATAATGCCCACACACTGAATCCTAGCATTGCACCAGGAATCAGATCAAGTGTGACACTCAATCTAGGTATCTCTGAAAAATCCCCATTTATGACTGCCTGAGGCTTTGGGGGCATATCAAAACACAAGCCATGACATTCCACCTCTGGGCCCCAAAGACTCATGGATATCTGTTTAAGCAAAATGCATTTAGTCCATCTCCAAGTGTTATCAAAGGCCTAAAAGTTTCAGTATTGCCAAAAAGTGTAAGTTGAAAGTCTCATCTAAAATTTAAGGCAAATTCTTAGCTTCAAGCCCTTGTACAAATGAAAGTTAAACATTTCCAACATTCAGTAGCACAAGATAAACCTTTCCATTCCAAAAATTACAAACCAGAAGACAGCAAGGAATGAGAACTAAAGACCAAATTCCAGCAAGGCAAACATGAAATTGCACAGTTCCATTTCCAGCATTCCTGGCAATCTGTGTCAAGCTGTGAACTCCAAAGGTTTTGGGTGGCTCTACCCTATGGCATTTCTGGTGGTTGTAGCTCCCATGCCTTCTTTCTTTGGCTGGCTTTGCTCAGTCCTTTCAGCTTTATGTTAGTGATACATGTTTCTGTCTTCTCCAACCTTCTGGGTTCACTGAACCTTTGGCTTCATACTTACAGCTTCACACACTGGCCTCTCAGGGGCACCCTACCTGGCCTCCCAGGCATTCTTCTGGAATCTGAATGGAAGCCTTACTGGCCCTACAACTCTCACTTTCTGCATGCATCTAAAACCAGCACCATGTAGATACACCAAGTTCTGCTACCAACTGTAGCAGTAGCCAGTTAGCAGTAGGGGTCCAGTACCTATGAGCCAATTCCGAAGGAGCAAATTCCCTAGGCAAATCTGGAACATAGTTCCCTGGGGCTCTCTTCTCAAAACAAAGTCACTTTTGGAATTTTGAGACTGCAAAAGATGGAGTCCTGCTGTCTCTTGTGTTGCCCTCAGCACATTTTTTCTATTTTGTTCTTAGCAATCAAGATCTCCTCTGCTGTATCTTTGTAGTCCACAGCTTTCCTGGAGATTCCTTTCTGGCCAAACTCAAAATGTTTTAAATCATCTTTTGGGGCTCTTTGCTCTTGATTTTCAACATAAATCTGTCTAAAAGCCTCCAACATGCCACAGCCTCGACATTAGAATTTCTGTCAGTGTCAGGCAAAGTGGTTAAAAGCAAAACTTTGAGCTTCACATGGTGGTGCACATCTATAATCCTAGCATTTGAGAAGCTGAGGCAGGACAGTCAGCTCTAGGCCAGCCTATGCTACATAGTGAAACCCTGCCTAAAACAAACAGACAAACAAAAAACAAAAAATTACTTTTGTGCCAGCAGCCTGAATCCAAATCATAGTTTATCAGATTCATGATAATGACATAATAAGTATTCTAAACCCCTTCCTTGCAAAATATTTAGCATGGGGTATGGCACATAGAAAGCAATCAATACATTCTAGCTAATATCATTATTGTTATTGTTAATATTCTTTTTTTGTACCTGGGATAGAACTCATGACCTCATGCTTGCCAGGCAGAGGCTTACTCTGCTAAGTCCCTGGCCCAACATTATCATTAATACTCAACAAAATTTCCTTGTTTTGAAACACAAATTTGAAGAAGCATCTATCTGGCAAGTACTCCATTGTAAATTAAATCCATTTTAAAGTACCTCACTGTAAAGTAAAATAAATCTAGGCAAACTTAGAGAAAACAAATCTGAGAATAAAGGAACACAGATAATTAGAAGCTCCTCTTGACTTCCCCTAGAGCAAAAAAAATTTTATGAACACTTCAAAAATCAATTTTCCCAAAGTTCTTCAGACAGAAATATACATAAGAAGTATTATATATTTTCTTTGATTACAAGACAAAAATAACCACTGTTACAATTTTCTATTCCTTTTCTAATTTCTTCTATCACTCCAGAACAGGACTCGATTGAGTAACTCTTTCTTGCCTAGGGACAAGTGGTTACCCCAACCATAGAAAGCTAGTTCTCTTGCCAGGCATGCCTGTGAAGCCCAACACTCAACAGGGTGAGGCAGGAGAATTACACCAAAAGCCAATCTGGTATACATAGTTCAAGATCAGCCTGGACTATACAGTGTGACCCTGTCTCAAAAAAGTTTTTTAAAAAAGCCGATTCTCAGGCCACATGAGCCTTTCAACAAAAACAGACTCCAGTTCAATATCTACACAGATAATTGTTTATATCTGTTATATGTCTGTTTATATCTGTTAAATGTCTCATTGGTATAGGTTAACGTTCCCTTCCAGAAATATCTCATCTAGAATGCATACCACATTCAGTTGATTTCTAGATAATTTGTTAACTATTAATAGTAATTCCAGTTTTTCAAATTCATTTAAAAATAAGCCATCTATGACTTGAAGTTGTTGTTATTCTATGTATATTTATTTTAAAAAGTATGTATATTGAGAGACTGACCAAATGAGTAAGGAGAAGGAATTGAGTAGATAGTATCTGACCACAAAGCTAATATAATTGTCTTAAATTTATTGCTGACATACTGTATCATCCCTCAGTAACTTCAGACAATAATTTAATTATATAGAGAGCATCTTATTGTGAACACATTTTTAGTCATATTTACCCTGTAGGCATATCATGAAGGAGGAGTAATTACATAAGCTTAGTAAATGATTGTAGAACATACTTAAAATAGTAAATTTATTGTTTTACTCCTTTGCTGTCTATAGCACAATAGAACAAGAATAAAATGGTACAGAGAAAAAGTAATGATGTCCTACTTCATTTTTTAAAGTGTTCATGGTTCTATACTTGATCTTTGCCAAAAGCCCAAGAAGCAACATATTTATGGTTCTAGACAGTCATACAAAATACAGTTAGTTGATGGTGTCACCATCATCAGGTCACCCAAGTCAGAAGCTTATCACTTTGGTCATCCTCAAAATCAAGCCCATCACCAGGCTGTACAGATTCTATCTGCTACACATCTCTAATCAGTAGTATTTTCTTTATTTCTACTCTAGTTGCCTTTTATGATTATTTGCCCAACTTGCTTTTGAAACTTCCTAATAAATTCTTCTCAACACTAGCCTTTAACTCCTCAGATCCATCCTCTATAGAAGACTGGGTCCACAATTAAAATCTAATCACATCACTACTTGCTTATGACCTTCCAAAGTCTCCTAACAGCCAGAGTTCACATTCCTTCCTACATCATGCAACATCATTCAAAATCTAGTATCTGCTGGTCTCGCTAAGGTCAGCCTTTTTCTTTTACCTAAGATCTAGATCAACAATAGTGAATAACTTGTACTTCTTCATATGGCACATTTTCTTTCCTTATCCCTTTTTCCCCCTAAAGTACTCCATCTCTTTTCTCCCATTTCTTTTTCTCTGTCTGAGGGCCCAGAACATGTTATGACTCAGTCTAGCAGTTACCTCTTGTACCATGCACATGATGACCACATCCTTCCCTCTCACTGGCACTCCTCTCAGTTCTCCCTTGATCCTTTGATCATATTCTAATCACAAATACTTGTCACATTTCTCTCTACATGACTCTCATTGGGCCTCGAGTTCCCTGAGGGCCACTATGGTTCTGTTGGATCCTCAGCACTGAGCACAGTATGCGGCACACAGCAGAGGTTCAATTTTTTTTTAAATAAGTGAGAGTATGAGCTATAGAAAATAGACCTTGAATGCTCAGAAAATAATTATCATACTGTAATACACTAAGAATTGTAGATTAATTCATTTATTTGTCACTAGTAAAAGTACTAACCATAGTTTTATATTTTTTACAGGGCTTCTACTAAGAAAAACATTTATTTATTTTCCACTCTAGGAAACAGTTGGAAATGAAGGCTAAATGCAGCAAGGGCATGAAAATACAGAGTCTGAAAAGAAAAAAAAGTATGAGATTGAAAATTAGCAAGTCTCTTACTTAATAAAAGTTTCTTCACATTTCTTCTGTCTGTGTGGTTTCTTCTATCACTGTGAGCTTCTGCAGGGAGCATCCCAGGATTTAGTATGAGGGCTTCTTTTCTTTATATATGTACTTTTTTTTAGACTGTTCATGTTATAAAGCTTATTATTAAATGCGTACGTTTCCCACTCCTGTCCTATACACTGCCCTGCTGTTTTGTTTCAATTTGGTTCAGTTTGGTTTGAGACTGGGGCTTGCCATGTAGCTCAGGTTGGCTTTGAACTCACTATGTAGCCCAGGCTGACCTCAAACTTGAACCTCCTGCTTCAGTATTCAGTGTTGGGATGACAAGTGAGTGCCACCACACCAGTGATGCCCTGCTCTTCTTCCTCATTTCTCAATGTCAACATGAACCAACATGAATTCCTTTTGATTTTCATATCCAAACTTGCTCCTCTCACAATCTCGCCCTTTTAGTTAACGGAAACCCCATCTCCCCAGGATTGTAATATGAAAACCTTGGAGTTATGCCTGATTCCTCTTTCGGGCCTCACATCAATTCATGCCTAAATCCCATTATATCTAACTTCCAGGATGCAGTTCCGTTTCATCTGGTCCACTGTCACTACTCTGATCCAAGCTAAATTGTCTCCTAACTGCTCTTTTTCCTTTGTTTGCATGTTGCTACTTATTTCCTCTGCTACAACCACAGTAATGACCTTCAAGCCTTTATTCTCTTATTCTTTCTTGTGCAACATTCTCCCCTAGGCACACATATGTTCTCATAATCATGTCTTGAACACAAATGTCGCTTCTCTGAAGCCTTCCTGACCACTCTTTAAAATAATGGCTGTCTCCCACACTCCTGATTCCTTCCCACTTTATTGTTCTTCAAGGTTCTTATCTTATTGTATTAAGAGTTTCCTCATTAATCTTATTATCTGTTCTCTCTCAAACCCCTTCAACCCAAATAAAAATCAGAAAGAAAAAAGCCTCCAAAGAATATTAGGAATGAAAAAGCATTGTAATAAGAATGTATACACCATAGAAAAAGGATTAGGTATGTTCAAGAGAGGTGAGAAAACGTGAATTTTTAAGCAGAAAGGAAGAAATTTATGTGAGCCATTGAATATAAAGTTCATTAGCCCTGGAGAAGTGAGGGAAGGATTGGCATCAGCTAATTGAGCTGATGCTGGGCATGTATTCTGTTGAGAACATCTGGCCTGAATGTTGTAGTCATGAACAATGTTAAAGATAAGCATCACAAAGTAGGAGATACAGCTCAGTGGTAGTGCTGCTTATCTAGCATGCACAAAGCTCTGGATTCAAAGCCAAGCATCATAAAAAAAATTTAAAAATGAAAGATAAATTTCATTACAAAAAATGGTTCGTACTTGCAAAGAATGTTCCCTTTTGGACCTTGAAGAGGTATCTAGACAAACAACCTAAGCCTGCTTCCTTTTTTACTTCCCAACTCTAATTTTATGTGGGCCTTGCAAGAATGATTTCATCTTGATACCACCAAGGCAGAAAATATTGTTTACTTAATGCTGTATCACCAACCCCTAAAAAAAATACCTGCACATAATAGAAGCTTAGTAAACATTTGTCACATGAATGAGAGGCACCTGTCATGAGCTTTTAAAGATCTTCTGGTGGTGGAAGTTCAGCGACATTAAAGGACGTTTGGAAGTCACACAGGGTGGACCTGAGAATTAGTAAGAGCAGGGAGTTAGCTAGATATGAGCTGGAGCTGGGTTAAGGCAGCTGGGCCAGGAAGGAAAACCTCAAACAATGCGATCACAGAATCGCTAGATCTTAGCCTCCTGCCTTCCTCAGAGGGGCCCAGCATACACAACATGTAAGTCTGGAGTCAAGGCTTGGTCACCTAGGGGAATCAAACCCCAGGCTGACCCAAATAAGCCTCATTAGCATATGTTTAAAGTACGGTTCACCCCCATGCCCCTTTGTAGGCGATCACGGTCACACTATATAAAACTGGTAAAGTCTCACTGTCAGCTTGGGGGGACCAGGAGGGAGAGCCACGTCCTTTGACCTGGTCCCCATGGTCCGAAAGCCAAGCCCAGGCCTGGGGGCCCCAGCCCTCTTCAGGCTGTGCCTGCGCTTCCTGTCTGGGAGGACCTGAGGGGGCTCAGGTCTTGCCTTCACCCAGATGCCCAGTCCTCTCCTAACAAACTCACTTGCTAAAGCTGCTATTTGCTATGCTCTTTTGATGGGGCCTCCTGATAATTCAGTTAAGAACTAAGACTGCATTTATAACGCAGACCGTCCTCTGGTAACAACGAGGGGACACGTGCTCCAGGACCCGCCAGACGGCACTGGGAGCTGCTGAGGGGCCAGGGGCTCCTTTGCTCGGCTTTGCCTTCATGAGCCGACTTGTTGTCTCAGGTGCCCGTCAGGCAACGTCTCAGCTGCCTGACCAGCACCAGGCAACCCAGAAAAGCTGAAATTGAGAAAAACTAGTGAGAGGGTTCAGTGGGTACGGACATGGGACTTTCAAGGCACGCTAGGTGCACAGCAGGCCTGTTAGGACAGCGAGACGAAATGGCGCCGAGGCACCCTGAACACCCGGGCTGTGGCGGTGCTGGGAACCACAGTGCATCAGCCCCGAGCCCAGGCCCGCCTCCAGGGAGCTCCAGGCCTCGGGAGCACTCGGTTCCCACAGCCACTAAGAAGGTGAGGGGGGCGCAGGGGCTGCTGGGAGCCGCGCCCCGGCCTATAAGGGGCTGAGCCGCGCCCGGGGGATGCCGGGAGCGACTGCTGCAGAGGCCGGGACTGTGCTGAGGAGAGCCCCAGAGCTCGGGCGCGGGCCGAGGGGGGGCCTCTGCTTGGTGAGTGAACCCGCTGTGGGCTTGGGGTGCTCTCCGCCTTGGCCTCAGCACTCAGGTTTCCCAGGGAGCCCCGGTGTGTCTGTGCCTCAGGAGGTGCGGCTTCGGAGCTTTAACCGGGCTAGAAACACCGTCCCCATCTTATGTCCCCCCACTGTCAGGGACCTGTCCCGCACACCAAAGAGGGAGACACTCCGGGGTTGAATTCCTAGCACTTTCTTCTTAGCACATTCCTAGTCTTTTCTTCTTAGACAAAATCTGTTGCTATTTAAACGTGTGAAGTACTACAGTCCAAGTTACCTTCCACCGATGTATGTTTTGTATGTTTGAGGGTTTGGGCTTGAATAAATTGCTTTATATATACATAGCATCCCAGTTTGCCATAAGACAGGATATAAAATTCAAAGACGTGCCATGTGAATTAGCAGGTATAAAATGTACTCCAAATAAAAGGTTTGTCTGCTTGTTTTGAGACAGCGTTTCACTGTGTATTTCAGGCCGCCCTTGAACTCGCTGTGTAGTCCCGGCTGGTCTCAAGCTTGCAGTCCTCCTGCCTCAGCCTTCCAAGTGCTGGGATTACAGACAAATAAAAGTTGTAATAGGCAGATTGATTAGTGGCAAACAATTTAGAAATCTTAGTAAACGTAACAATTTATATATCTCAGGAAACATTTTGTTACATGAAAAATAAAAATATATTACTCAGCCAAACTGCTTTACAGAAATAATCTAAAATAGCAGATACTTGGCTATTTTGATTTTTGAATTATGTTGCAGAAGAAAAATTTTATTTTCCTAAAAATAAAAGAAAACAAGAATGGTAAGTAACTGTAAAAAGAATTTGTTAGATAAACAATATGGTAGAAACAGGAAAAATGTAAAACAGTCTAAGCATTTTCAGCTGGTGTTTTGTATTACTTGGGTTTAAATTACTTAGTTTGAACTTGTAGTTTTGTAACACAAATTATCTTGGGGTGATGAAAATGTTCTAAAATTTATTACATTAATAATTGCACAAATCTATGTATATAGTAAAAAAATATTAAAGTGCATACTTCTAGTGGGTAAATTGTATCTTAGCTTAATAAAACTTGAACCAAAAAAACTTCTAGAAGATCATTAGAAAACCTTCAAGGTAAAAATGCCAGTTTGCTAAGTAATTTGTTTTTATTTATTCTAACACAGAATCAACTTTTTGTTAAAACAGTGTCTCTCTATGTAGCTCAGGCTGGTCTTGAACTCACTGTGGAGCCCAGCTGCCTCAAACTCGCTGCAGTCCTCCTCCCTCAGCTTCCCAAGTACTAGGATTACAGTGTGTGCCAGCAAGCTCAGCAGCATCAACTATTATGTGTTGAGTTGATATTGAAACTCTGTGGGCAAGAAAGTTTACTAATTTCTTTTGCTGTTTGTGTTTAAAGGTTTGATTGCTGAGACACACAGTCGACAGGAAATATGAACGATTCCAGGCCGCAGTCGTTGTTCTTCATCACACTTCCAGATACACAGAAACTGTGTGCAGTCCCAGTAACACTGAGTAACAGAGTGGCAGATGCTGAGCTTAGGAGTACACAAATGAAGATGTGCAGGTAAAAAACATGTCTTCTAGCTCAGTTTTTAAACCTTTTAAAAATCTTTGCAAGTTGTTTTAGCGGTAGTTGCTTTAAAGCAAAATGTTCACTTAACCTATATATTTAAAATAAATTAATTAAATTGGTATCAGAGTAGATTACATTAAGATGCTTGTGATCTTAAAATACTTGAGGTGGAACATCTCACTATTGAGTTTTTATATTTGTGAGTTGTGCTTTTAAAAATTTTTAAATCTTTACAGATGTTCATAAACTAGGCACATATAAATTTAAGAGATACTAAATACGTATTTACTCACTTTGGAAATCTTTATGGATATTTCTTTAAAAAGTAAACATAGAAATTCCATTCAACCTAATGATACTTCTGGGTATCTTCCCAAAAAAGAGTAAAATACATCATGTGACAGTGATACATGCATATCCACGTTGACACAACTCACAATAGCTAAATTTTAAACTACCAACACATAAATGGCTAAAGAAAATATAGATATTCACAATGGAATACTACCCAGCCACTAATATGAATAAATTTGAGTTATTTGTAGGTAAATTAATGCACCTTCAGACCATAATACTAAGTAAAATAAATCAGACATAGGTTGACTATCACATGGGTTCTCAAAATGTAAATTTAAGAGCAAAATAAAAGATGATGTACCTTTTGTAGTTGGGAAGGTGATCTAGGGCTACAGGGAAGGAGGGGACAGGGGAAGTAAAGGACTAAGACACGATATGTGTATGACCAGCTCACGGCAGTGAATGTGTTCATTATGGAGTGCAAACATGTACTAATAAAAGTAAATATTTACTGATTACTCTTTGCAGGACACTTAAAAGATACAGTGACTGACTTAATGTAACTTCTGAATTTTTAAGTTAATATAAAACACTGAAGAGTATTTCTCCAAGAATTACTTTGGCATACCTAATCCACGATAATCTTTTTGAAATGGCTTAGTGGAAGCCTGAAGTATAATCCTGGAATTACTGAGGAATCATCATATATTCACTCCTGAGTATTTTTTGTCTTGGTGCTGGGGATGAAACCCAAGGCTTGGCTCTTGCTAAGCAGGTGCCGTGCTACTGAGCTCTGTCTCCAGCTCTCATTCTATCAATTGTTTGAGGTACTTGAAGCAGTCACACAATGCATGACAAGATTATGTCTTTAAATGAATTTTTTTGGAGAAGAGCAAATGTCTACAGGATGCTACGGATAAGAAATGAGAAAGACATACATAGGGTGGCCTCTTTCTCACCTCTGCATATTTTCCCTCCCAAGTCCATCAAGGAGCCTGCATTCTTCCTGGTATGGTGATAACCATAAAGGATTTACCTGGGACCTTCTGGGAAAATACTGCAATTTGTAAACAAATGAGATTTTCTTTTGTTGGTCCTTGAGTTGAAGGCACCTATTCTCATAGAGTAAGGCGGTTTTAACCCACTGTAATGGCTGGCTTACAACACAAAACAGAGACTAGGCTGTGTCAGGTGAGGGCAGCCAAATGGCTTGCAACAGATATGAAGCCACTAGAAATGGATCAACCTGTCATGCATTTTGATGGAACTCTATATGCATTCTCATGGTCATCTAAATTTTTCTTTCTTTATAAGTATTGTTGAGAATTTTCAAATTTCTAACTGTATTCCTTTTTGTTTTGTTTTTCGAGGCAAGGTGTCACTGTGCCGGGGTATCATAATGTAGTTCAGGGTGGTCTTGAACTCATATATAGCCCAGGGTGGCCTCAAACTTGCCATGATTTTCCTGCCTCAGCCTCCCAGGTGCTAGGATGCACTACTACACTCATCTTCCATTGTTTTTTCTTATCTTTTGCTTGGCTTTTGAAACAAAATTATTGATAATAATTTGAATTATACTTTCTGTCATAATGTAGGTTCACTTAGCTTTTGAAAACTAAACTGTTAAACCACCAACTTATTTCTGGCTTGGGAAGAATTTCCTTCTTGAAGGAAAAGAATCTAGTTAATAAGTAAAATTTTGAATTTGTAACTACTCTAGCCTCTAGTGATGCTTCCTATAACTGTTAAAAAATAGTAGTTTAAGAGTTAAAAAAGGTGAATTCCTCACAGTGTTTAGACTTTTAAAATTTTTTTTTTAATTTTAAGGGAATGAAACAGGACAAAGCAAGTCAGAACAGAGCAATGCAAGCAGCACAGGATTTCACAAGATAACAGAATATCTGTATAGACTTTGAAGTCTATACTTACAACAGAAATGGAATTTTAAAGAATTTAGATTCACAGATGAAAGAGATCTGCAAATGCAGAAGCAGGGGTTGGTTTTCAGTTTAATACTGGTATACAAAACTTTATAATTAATTCAAACATTGGTTAAGTCCTTACCATGTTCAAGGTACAATACTACGTGTAGGAGAGAGACAGAAATTTGTCAGAGTCCTAAACCAAACAAATCTGAAATTTTTGACTAAGAAAATTATTCAAGTATTCTAGTAAAGTAAAAGCACATTCAATGAGTCCACGTTGGATGTAACACATTTCTTCTCTACAGACAATTGCTAATTTTGCATGAAGATATTCTTGCCTCACCTATACCTGGAACCTTCAACCAAATTTGGATAGTGATGGCAGTGAGTATTATCAGTTTTGGCTAGCAATGTTGATAAACAATAGTTTTGATACTGTAGCTGAAACTGAAGATGATTTGTGAGGGTTAATCACTCTGTTGTAGTTTGATTGAGCTATTAAAGACTTACCTGTGATATGTCTGATGTTTACATTTTAATATTTAGTAGCCTCTGTCATAAATAGTAAGATAGACTGATAATACTGCTGCTAATTATTATTGTTGTTGCTATTATTGTTATTGTTGGTGGTGATACTCAGCACTGAACCGTAGGCTTCTATTGAGCAGCATCTGAGCCCTCCACTAGCTTTTTTTGTTTTGTTTTGGTTTGTTTTGAGATAGGGTCTCACTGTGTAGTTCAGACTGCCCTTAAACTCACTCTGTAGCCCAGGCTGGTCTTAAAACTCGTGGCAGTCTTCCTTCCACAGCCTCCCAAGTGATCGGATTATAAGTATGTGCCATCATGTCTGGCTATCCCAGCCCTTTTCAAGGCTGTGGAATATTTCATTATATAATTGTGCAGTAATTTACTTAATGCTTTCTAATGCACATCTGAGTTTCCACTTTGTATTATTATAAACAGTGCTTCAAAAACTGTTACTGAAATTATGTCATTTTTTACTGGGTTTAGTGGTGCACTCCTGTAATCCCAGCACTCGGAAGACTAGGCAGGAGGTTAACTGAAAGTTTGAGACCAACCTGAGCTACAAAATAAGTCCAAGGCCAGCCTAAGCTGCACAGGGAGACCCTGTTTCAAAAAAACAAACCAAAAAAAATCTCATTTTTATTTGTCTGGCAATTTACAAGGATTAAACTCTTATAAATGAGATTGCACTACATCTTAAAGTATAGATACTGCAAGACTGATGTCTGAAAAATTTGTGCTGGATTACATTTTAGCAGATATCATCTGAAGGAATTGATTTTTCTACATGTTCACCAATACTAGGTTAGCAGTTGTCAGGTACTTGTATTTGCTGATCAGGTAGGTTAAAAAAATACCTTTCCTTAATTTGTCTTTTTTTCTTTTTCTTGTAAATTTGTACTTTGCTGGATAAATTGTCATACTTAGGTGTTTTGAACTTGATCACCCATTTGTGTTCATTTTCCTTATTTGTGTCTAAGCATTTACTGTATAGTGAGTGAGGTACTAAATATTTACTGTAAGATTAATTGGCTTTTTTTTTTCCTGTGGCTTCCATGTCACTGCCAGAGAAGCTTTCTTCACTTTCTAACTGTTCCCACAGAGTCTAGCTCAATGAGGGAATAATTCTACTACTTGAAGGCGTAGATGCTGCTAGAATGATGGCATGATTCTGTGCCTTCTGCTCTGTTATGCTTAAAATATGTATGTATTACAGTGCTTAAATATTTATGTTAAGTCTAAATCTGAATCTTTTATAGATCCCATTTTTTAAGGCTGGAAAACTTAATGCTTATATTGAAAAATATGAAGCTAAGGTAAGTTTTTAAGAGAATGATTCCAGATGTTGTTACATTGATTAGGTGTTCAGTTTCTTTGGTCAGCCAACAATAATTGGGTTATGTTTCTTAGAAGTTATTGTTATGCCTGTGAAAAAACTCAACATTCTTTTCCAAATAATTATTTTGTGCACATTTGGCACAGTAAGAGAAGAAGAGGCTTGATTTTGTTGGATACTTTATTATAGGAACTTTACGTGTCCTAATCTCATCTTTAACTAAATGAATTAAAAAATAAAAAAATAAATCTAGAGAGGTGGAATTATTGTTCAAAATTAAGTAGTTAATATATAGAGAAATAAAATATTACAGATTATAGTCTACATTATGATGAGCTTCTGGATCTTATCTATGGAAAAATGAATATATAAAGTTAAGTGCTTTATATATAAGTTAATATATAAGTTAATCAAGTCATGGAACAGTGAATAAAGCTCACATTGTGCCCCTCAGGTACCTCTGTGGCACTGTGTATTGTTATTTTTGCAGGCTGTGTAGCCATCACTATGGCCCTCCTAGATCTGCTAGGGCTCAACTGAGATTTTGAGTTATCTCAAAGGTACAATGCTACTTTCAGATTCCAGGAGTATGCTGAGATTTCACAATACCGGAAGGTATTGTACAGCAGGCTCCCTAAGAAATCATTGAATGATCTGAAAGTTGATGTAATCCCTCAGGAATCTTCTGGTAGAAAAAAAATCCTTTGTTTTTTATGTTTTTAGAAGAGATTCTGTTGAATTTGATTTCTTCTGTAGATTTGTCAGGGTTGACCAGTAAAGCTGCCTGGGCCTTAGCTTAGCTGAAATGTTTATTTTCTTAAAAGGTACTAACTTGGGGCTGGGGATTTAGCTCAGTGGCATAAGCACCTGCCTTGTAAGTGTGTGGTTGTGAGTTCGATCCCCGGTACTGATAAAAAAGAAAAAGACAAAAAAAAAAAAAAAATGGTACTAACTTATTTAATAGGTACTTTTCAAAAATTATCTATTTTAAGAAAAATGATCATCCCACCTAGATTACCAAATTTTATTGGCCTAAAGATTATTTATAATATTTTCTTATTTTCTTTGGTATAGAATCTGAAGTGACATCATCTTTCATTCATGGTGTTGGTCATATGCACCATGTTCTTTTGTTTTTTTTCCTTCTATGCCCCCTCCCCCCTTTTTTCTTTCTTTCTGTCTGGTCAGCCTAGCTACAGATTTTGCAACTGAATCAATCATTTTAACGAGTTTTTGGTTTCATTCATTTTTCTCTTCTGTTTTACTGTTTTGTATTTTACTGATTTGGTTTTTTTTTTTTTTTTCTTTCTTCTGCTTAGTGTAGTTGCCCTTTTTTTCTAGTTTTTAAGATGAAAGATGAAGTCATTGGTTTGAGTTCTTTATTTCTCATGTAGAGATACTTAGTGCTATTTCCTCTGAAGTAGGTGTCTTCTGATTTTGTTTAATCTCTTCTCTGATCTACATTACCTTGAAATATGGTATATAATATCTAAACATTTGAAGATTCTCCATAGATTTTTCTGTTATTAATTTCTTATTTGTTATTAGATAATATAGTTTATATAACTTGAATTTTAAATTTTATTGAAACTTTTTATGGTCCAGAATGTAATTTATCTCAATAGATGTTTCTTCTCCCTTTGAGAAGAATGCCCATTGTGCTCTTATTGTGTTAAATATTCTATAAATGTTAATAAAATCACATTGGTTGATGATCAGCCTATTCTCAATTTCTCTTCATGTCAATTATTGAGAACAGTACATAATTGTAGATTTTTGTCTGGTTCCATTTAAAGTTCTGATATAGAAGACATATAACTGCCAAACTGCTAGATGTCAGATGTGCTGAGTTTGTATCCCCCTGAATATCAAAGAGTGAATTATAAGAAATAATGGAGGTTAAGAGTAGGAAGGTTAGAGAGAGAGAGAAAGAGAGAGAGAGTGTGTGTGAGCGCCCCTAAGAGACAGAAGCAATCCTGAAAATGGATTGCCATAAAGGCCCTTTGTCAGGAGTGATTTATACAGCAAAAATCACAATATGGGTACAATGTGGGTCTAACTATAATCAGCCTATAGGTTTATTATGGTTCCAAGTATAGCTGCTTAGCTAATATTGATTCAATAGGAAAATAAGTCATATAGCAAGGGTACATGGAAGGAACAAAGGCATTTTGGGGCAGGATGGGGTCCAGATGCTCAGGTCACCCTCCTGTGCAACTGATGCCTACCTGGACTAGTAAACTAGGTGGTGCTAATTACAACATAATCTCAAGTTATTGTTTATCTCTTAGGGAGGCATGGAGGCATGGCTGTCTGGAGGCCTGACCTTCTTCAGTTGTGCCTCCAGCTGCAATTCTGATATCTTTATTTTTGTGCCGACTTCTTTGAGAGCCATTTCCATTTGACTGTATATTTCTGTCTAACTGAGATGCCTATAATAGTTCTAATAGTAGTATCAGTTAGTTGCAGAGATCTCAACACAATGAGACCATATTTGATATTTTGGGGTAGTTTTCTAGAGGGATAAATGATTTATTCTTTGTAATACCCTGTGAGCAGTTTTTCTTATAATGAAAATCACCTGGTAGAAAAGATAGTATAGAATCTGCCCTTGATTTCAGCTAAAAGATAAATGACATTATCTTCAAGTTATCAGCAGAGTTGGTGATGGACGATAGAATTGCCCCAGACTTCCTTTTTGCTTGTCAAGGATCAGTTTGTGTTAATATGAACTGCTGTATTTGGAGTAATTTTTTGGGCCAACGAGAAAACAGCATCAACATTGAGGAGAAGGCCACCAGGCATTCAGTAGTAGACCCTGGTGGTTTATGGTGTTTATTTGGCTGCTTGGGTCTGGGGCCCAGGAGCCATGATTAAAGTCATTGTACACTGGCTTCATTCTGCTGCTTGTAGTCCTCTTGATAACCTTAATTAAATTCTTTATAAGACAAGCTAAACATATTCTGCTAATAGATTAGTCAGATGTATCCTGGAAACCTTTACTAAACACCAGAATGATACAAAAAGGAAGGGTAGAGCTGGACAGGGTTGCACATGTCTGTAATCCCAGTACTCAAGTCTGATGCAGAAAAATTGCCACAAGTTTAAGGACAGCCTGAACTTCAAAGAGAGATCCTGCTCACCCCCACCCCCAAATGAGGAGTGGATAATATTGGGAGACAGTTTTCCCTAGTTCTTTCACTTTTTCTGCATACCATTCTCACAGATGCAAGGACAACCTTTTCCTCTAAGTGTTATTTTCAAGGATGTTTGTACAATAAACAGCCTTGATTTTTGTCCCACTCTTGGATAGTTTCTTTACAGACACATACTAATCCATATTCAGCCAGACACTCAAGAGTGGCTCTGCTGATCTCAAGTTTTCTTTCTGCACAGCTTTCTCCTTTCTAGTACTCAACCAGAAAACTAGAAAACTAGCTTCTTTGACCTCTTTGGAATCCCACCTGTCTTTTCAATTTAGTATTCTGCTTGGCTTTTTCTAGATTCCCTATCACTGGTTTTTCTGAAAACCCTCTTTAGTCAATGAGCTGGGGAAGTTCCAGTGAGCGTTTTGTTGGTTTCCTACTTCTTGGGCAACATTCAAATTTGTTGCCTGATATCCAGTATCTTATGAACCATTGTTTCATAAACTTGCCTTGTTGACATTTCAAGGGGGAAAAATAAATGTGATTTCTAATACTGATTGGTCAGAAGTGGAAATCCTGATTTTTAATATTCTGTATGAATAGAGATATTCTGTTGTATGCTCATGTAAGTATTTCTCGTACTGAACTAGAGTGAAAATAATGAAAAATGTGACAAGGTCACTCTGGCCTGGGTTCCTCTGTGTGGAATAGAATCCAAAGTTGTGGATTCTCATCACAAGTGTGTTTGAGGTTGAGGCTTACTGGACCAGTGTAAGCAAGTGAATTTGGCCATACAGCAACAGTAGTGATGGTTTCAGATATTTCTTAAGACATTGATTTTAGAAACAGATAGCCTTAACTATATATAACTGTATAATTTTCATCTACAATAGCTCAGAATATTTCTTGGTGATGATCTAAACATGCAGATATTTCCTATAAGATAATAGGGGGATACCAGTTGCTCTAAGTTTGCCCATGTTTTACTCTTTAATATTTTTAGATGGAGTCTCCACAAAGAGTAATTCCTGCAATTCTTCAGAACTGCATTTCATACTCACTTACCACTAGACTTGCTCCAGCCTGGAATCGAGCTGGCCATCTCTTGGTACAAGGTGACTTTACATCTATCAGTCATTGGAATTTTTTGTGGTAGATTACTTCTATTATCTGCACCCTTTTGTTAATTTCAAGGTATCTTATTTTTAGGGAATCATTCTTAGCACAATTCCAACTAAATGTTTTTAAGCAATGACATGAATGTTATTCCCTTACTTTGGGATTACATACCTAATATGCCTGCTGATATTTAAGAAAATTCCCTTTTATCTTTTTAAATTTTCTTACAATGGCAGATTTTGCCCAGGGCCTTTGCACTGAGCTATATCCCTAGCCCTTTTAAAATTTTTTTTATATTTTTATGAGGCAAGGTCTTGCTAAGTTGCTCTGGTTGAGCTTGAAGTTGTAATCCGTCTGCCTCAGCCTTCCAGTGCAGTGGCTTTGCAGGCACACTTCACTGTACATTACTAAAAAAACCTTTCTAACAATCCTTTAAGATAAACATATTATGAAGTATTATGATAAAAAGAACACACATTCTGTCAATATTGCTGGAATCAAAGCCATTCTGAATTTTTGTTGAAATCTGATAGTTTTCTAGGTATTTTTATAGTAGGAGATAAATTTGTAAGGGAAGAATTAGTTATTTTTATCCTTTTAATTAAAGAGATACTGTTTCACTTATATTTTGTCTCTGAGTGTGTAAGATACTCCTTTACATATGTTTATTTTATTTTTTTCCTTTGCTTTGATAATTTCATATCAAAAGTTATGTGCATCAAGTATGATCTTTTGAATTAAAATATGAAATTTTTTTTTAAGGAAAAGATTTTCTTTCTCAGATGGGAAAGCAGAGTGCTGTTGGTAAGTAAAAAGATAAGTCAGTAGATAAAATATTGACATAATTAGCAGTTGTTTAAAAATGATATTGTAGATCATTGGGTTATTAAAATCTTGATGATTACATTATATTGAAGTAGGAGACAAATGGGAATCCCATTGTAGAGAAAATCAGCCAGAAAGCAGAGTGAAAGGAAAGGAGCCCAAGAAAGATGAAGGAGTTGAGCACAGCAACATACCATTCAAAGACATGTGATATACTTGACCTAGAGGGCTTCACCTTGTAATAGCCCAACTGGCTCTGAACTCCCCAGTGAGTTCATCCTGTGATGAGGTTAGTGCCCTTGTGATCCAGTCACCTTTCTAGGCCCCAGATTTGAACATTACTGCATTAGAGATCAAACTCTCAATACATGAGACTTTGGGGGAAACATTTCATATTTAAACCACAACTTTCCTCAGATAAGAGCCCTTTCCAAAATCACCACTATCTTGACTTGTCAGAAGTATTTATGAAAAAGTAAAGAAGTAACCCCAGGGATGCAGGGATTCTGCAGTGTATCTGCCAATATATTTGAGGAAATTTGCTAGTAAAAGACTAGTCGAGAACCGGGTATGGTGGCACATGCCTGTAATCCCAGCACTTGGGAGGCTGAGGCAAAAGGATTAGTGTGTGAGTTTGAGGCCAGCCTGGGCTACAGCATGAGTGAACTGCATAGCAAAACCCTCTCTTAAAAAAAAAAAAAAAAGAATATTCAGTTCAGAGGCCTAGTATAAGACCTCTCCTAACTTTAGAAGAGGACATTATCTAGTTCTAATATATATAATGGATAGCAGACTGATGCAAGAGATTTGTTGGGTTTTCTTTTTAACTATAAAATGTCTGATTTTTTTGTTACAACCCTATACTATGATTTCTCACCCATGTCCATTTTGTGTCTTTTAGATGTCTTATTGTAGACTGTCAAATATTATATAGTAATCATTTAAATTTTACTCTATATCTAAAAATATTCATCATTTAGTTTCTATCTTGAGTAAATTAGTTTTATTAAAATACTCAGGTTGATATAATAGTAATTCCAGATAATTTATGTTAATTTTTTTTTTCAGTATTAGATGTCAATGTAACAGAAACTCAAATTTGTCTAAGCATAGAAGTTTGCACTATCAGACTGCCACCACCAGAGGTACCACATATTTGATTTGCATAATGTAGTATATTTACTGCATACTTAATATGTATTTCTATTACTAATTGCTATTAGCTGTTCATTTTCAACACAGAGAATGATTGGAAGATTTTTCTTATTAAAGACCATACTTCTAAATGCTTGATATATTTACATGTATTGTTCTAAAGCTTCTCAAAAGAAATTATTCTGTTTTTTTAACACAGATCTTATCCCTTATTCAGACCTTTTAACATAGGTCGTATCCCTTATTCAGAAATTTCTACAGGTATCCAAAATTCTACAACCTTACCCTGGCTCAGCACCCACTTCTTGCTTCTTCTTTTATCTCTAAATGTTAAAAGTATGGTTTCCATCCCTACTAAGTGTAATGTTCACCCCCTACCCTTATTTGATAGCATTTTTTCTATTTGTGTATATAATATTTTTTGTATCTCCTTTGAAAGTTATATTTTACTTTTCCCATGATACCTTGTATAGAACTTTCCTTAGTAGTTATACAATAAATGTTATCTTTTTTTCCCCTCTATACCAGTAGTTTCCAACAGAAGGAGATAGAAGGGGAAAAGAGTGATTTTGCTTCCCATGAACCACTTGCCAGTGTTGACAGACAATTTGGTTTATCACAGTGAGGAAGGGGTAGTGTCACTACTGGCATCTCATGAGTAAAAGCCAGGGATTCTGCTAAGTTATCCCATGCATAGGACAGTAGTCCCACCACCAGCCCAGCAAAGAATTATCCAGCCCAAAGTGCAAAAGTGCTGAGGTTGAGAAACCTAGACAGATGACTCTTCCTTTGCTTAGAATGCTGGCTTTGATTAAGTAGATAAATGTCCTCAGTTTTTAAGGGTCTCAGCTCAAATGTTCTTAATCCATTTATTTCTTTTTTTTTTAAATCACTTTATATGCTGAGATAAAGAACAAAAATTAATAGAATCTGCTTTCTTGCCTTTTAAGAGTTTGTAAGCTGATAAAGAAGCTGACATGCATAAATAATTGACACAGGTTACATAGCGTGTGTATTGTGGGCTAATAAGAAACCTCAGCCTCTGATCTCAGCACTTGGGAGGCTGAGACAGGAAGATTATTGTAAGTGCAAGACCAACTTGGACTACAAAATGAGCTCAAGGCCAACTTGAACTACATAGTGAGACCCTGTTTTAAAAAAGACAGAAAAAAAAAAAAGAAGAAGAAGAAAGAAAGAAACCAACCTCAAGGTTCCAAGCCGTATCTGATTGAAAATCAAACTTATGACCTCAAACTTGCCAGGCAGGTGCAGTGCCACTGAGCTATCTGGTCTTATTTAAACCCTCCTACTGTACTATGCCATACTCACATGCTTATTTGTATTTTTAGAATGATATATTTTTATGTTCTCCATTACCTTTATAAGCATCATGAAAACTAATGTTATATTTTCACATTTAAATATCTTATCTCTATATTTTATTTCTAAGTTTGAACCAGCTTAAAGAATTACAAAAAAGAAACATTTAGTGATCAGAATACTCATAATTTATTTTTCAAAATGAGATATTTTTGGAATGAAAAAGACACTGACTTGATAGGATACTGGCCCAGCATACATGAACTGGGTTTTATTACCACACTGCTTATTATCAGAAAGGAGAAACAGATGCTAGAGAAAGTGGCCTATCTGAACCTTAGAATTTTGCATATTTACCCACATTCTTATGGCATTCATGAAAAATTGTAGTTCTTCCAGAGACAATGCAGAACACCATGCTTTGTTAATAGACCACTTCCCAAAAAGAGGGAGGAATTTAGCCCAACATGCTTGGTTATTCACCCTAATTCTATTAGTCATCTAAGCCACTCAGCGTATCCTAGAAAAGGATGACTGAAGGGGCAACACATGACAAGAGGGTTGTGTGTTAGTGGAGCTTTCTTGACATGGAAGAGAACACCAGAAATGGGTAGATACCTCAACTCAACGTTACACTCAACACATGTTTGTTAACATTAAATGAATTCCTCAAACAGCAATTGATCATTATGTCCTCCAAATGTCACTTTTACTTAAAATTTTGATACAGTATATTTAACATTGTGACTCATATAAAAATTAGTTTCATACATGTCTGTGTCCCCACTAAATTACAATCTCTTGAAAATCTTGGTTTGGCTTTATTCATCCATATTTTCCCTAGGAACTAAAAACATCATTGGGTTTAATTTTCCTCCTATCAAAAATCAGTACTGATTACTTGGTCAGATGAGTTCAGTAAGGATGAGGAGGGTGCTTCTGTTCTTTCTTCCTTCAATTCATTTGCTATGCTTTCATTCTTCTTAAAGGTCTATCATGGCCTCCATTGACTATAAGATTTAAAAATCTCAGCTGTGTAGCATTGCAAAGTCCTCAAAAAACTGATCCAAAACTATTTTATATGTGGCCTCTTCCCCCAGTAGACAAACTGCAAATTATTTCTCAAAGATAAAATGGTGTTTTATCCTTTTATATTCTTACTCATATAGTTCTTCCAGCTTTTAATCCCTTTTCTCCAGTTCATCTTTCTCTCTTTCTTTGGTACTGGGAATTAAACTCAGGGCCTTGTGCATGCCAGGCAAACATTCTGTCACTGAGTACTGAATATGTCCCTAGCCAGTGTGGTTCATCTTTTAAGGCTATTATCTGGGTTGTCACCCTCTGTGATCCTCAGTTCCCAAAGCTCAGTTCTCTTTGCAAATATTGTTATCTATGCAAAGATCTCATTAAGTCTTAGAGAAAAGGGTCTGACTTACTAATTGTCTATCATAGGAGCCTGTCATTCTAGTCACCTACTCCAGGAAAGATTTTTGGGAAAAATGGACAGTTGAGTGTCACAGAAGATTAATTTCTGTTTTGAAGGATCTGGTTTTTGTTCCCAAATTCTATTCCTCCAAGTTACAAATAGTTTTCTAAATCTTGGCCTTGTATCCTATTTGTGTAATTTTAAGGCAATTTATCATAATTCATAAGAAATGAGATTTCATTTCATGAGAAATGAGATTTTTAATTTAACAACACATTCAAAGATGTATTTGAAACAATAATCTGATTTCTAAATTTTAGACTGTGAGCTTTAAAATGATAATTTTCTGGAAGTCATTTGAATGTTTAGAAAGGAATTTAAATGCATAACTGCTATTTTATTGGTTGATATATTGAGATACCTGAATCTACAATTACATAAAAGATGTGTTCGAGAAAAGCATTTTGTAATCTTAACTGTTTGCCTTGAAGAATTAATTACATGAAAAATTTGCGAATTGAGAACCTGTAAATAAATTTTTATTTATTCTGTAGTCAACTATTTATTCAGTATCACTATGGGTCTGGGAAGGATGGTGATGGAAGTCATTAGCTTTCCTCCTGGAAGTTTTTATGTAGGTCAAAAGAAAAGACCCATGCATGCAAATAAACCTAAAGATGAGAACATCTACTGAACATTGGTTAATATTCACATGCCGCCCAAAAATAGTGTAGGCTTAGAATCACATTAAGATGTCAAGTTTTGTGCTTAATAGCAGTACTTCTTTGGGCATCTTATTTGCTTTCCCTGAATCACACTTTTCCGTGTAAATTGGAGATAATATTTGAGGAAATTGAGTTAAGTACATTATTAAGTGATTTACACAGGATATGTTATAAAATGACATGTTATAAAATGAGGATTTGAGGAAATTGAGTTAAGTACATTATTAAGTGATTTACACAGGATATGTTATAAAATGAAAGTTCAAATATGATGGCAATTATTGTTTTATAAGTAAATGAATTTAAATACCAGCTTAATAATTACTCTAGATCATAAAGATAGTCAGTAACAGACTCAGTATTTAGATTTGTCTTTCAACTCTGTTCCTTAACGTTATACAATGTAGTGTATGGGAACTGCATTACTTTTGGGTTTCAGATAAAAAGGAGGTATCTGAGGGAGGGAGTTTATCTTTGAAATCATTTGAATAGTTACACTGTATTCTACCATTTTATTCTTTTTTTTTGGTACCAGGGATCAAACTCAGGACCTCGTGCTTGCCCAGCCGTGCTTGTGCCACTGAGCTAAACCCCCGGCTCTACCATTTCATTTAAATTGGTTTCTTTCTTGATTTCTCAGAAGTGACTTCTTTTGTAGAATCTTTTACTATCTATTCAGAATTCTTTATCTTAATCACATTAGATGTTGCTGTTTCTTACAGTTTGGAAAATGAAGTCCAAATATTTTAGATAGGCATTATAAAAGGAGGAAGATTTATTTTTGTACTTTATCAGTATAGTTTTAGTCACATAAGGATACTTCATAAATACTTGTTAAGTAAATAAATTCAAGGTGTTAGTATTCTTCTGGGGTGTGTGATGAATAGTTGGGTAGCTTATGTTGAGAAACACCAGTATAAACAAGTGCTCATATTATGGGCAATTGCTTGAGTCTCTGAATAGTGTTGAAAATACCCAGAAGACATAAACTCAAGCCATGTAAGTAGGCGTATGTGAGAACCCACAAACTAGATATTTGAACCTGACACCTACCTTTCTGGATTTTGTTTCAGGTTGTTTTGCCTTACGCTAGTCACCTACCTGCTCCAGCTTTTTCATCTGACATTCATGATCTCCTGCCCTAACCAACTATTTCTATCACATAGTTTAGGCAGCTAAGCTGTGTTTTTTTTCTCTTTCCTCTCTCTCTCTCTCTCTCTCTCTCTCTCTCTCTCTCTCTCTCTCTCTCTCTCTCTCTCTGTCTGTCTGTCTTTGTCTCCCTCCTTCCCTCCCTTTCTTTTGAGACAGGGTCTCATATGTAGTCCAGGCTGGCCTCAGACTTCTGACAATCTTCCTGCCTCAACCTCCTGAGTGCTGGGCATGCATCATCCAACCTGTGATTAACTGATCACTTGAGCACAATGCATTACAGGAAAATATGTTTTTCTTATACACAGGATGCTATGTATCCTTATTTAATCTGAGTGGCCTTGTGTACTTTTATATACTATCTTTCTGTGTCTGTTCCTATAGCATTAAGAAGGGCCACAGAAACTCTGAAAAGGATCAGATGGACATAGAGGAGATGAACTTTGATTTAGGCCTGTCTCTGATAAGGCCTGTAGCTGATAAGAATCAGATAAATCAGAGTGTGACCAGTGTTTTAAGCAAATATATCATTATGACTTTAATGAATTTTGCAAGCGGTAAAAAGTAGAGTTCTTGAACATTTATATAAAGAGAAGGATAGAACATTGTTTCCCAGAAGATGCTATGGCATTAAAAGGAAATGAACAATTGTGATATTCTTTCTAATCTTAATATAGTGTCTTTTCACTCATTAATATTTTATTTCTTTATCTCACTTAACGCCTCTTGTATCTGTTAAAAAATATATCCCAGGCAACTTTGCAGTGTGAGAAAACTATATACACATGGCAAACTTACTGGTTATATACAAACTGAAATACCACATAGGAAGGAAACTTGAGGAATAGGAAAAGAGAATTCTTTTTTTTTTTTTTTTGAGGCAGGATCTCGCTCTGTAGTCCAGGCTAGCCTCAAACTTGTAGTGATCTTCCTGCCTTAGCCTCCAGAGTGCTGGGATTATAGGCATGTGCCACTATCCCCACATAGGAAAAAAGAATACTAAGAGTCAGGAAGGGAATATAGAAAGTAAATTGATAATTAGTATTGTCATCTGCCTTCTAAAAGATCAGGTAGTATAACTTACTACAGTTTAAAATTGAAGAAGCTATTCTTCACAAAGATCAATAAATGCTAGAGAGGATGGAGGATAAAAGGAGCCATTTTACATTGATGGTAGGAGTGTAAGCTAGGTCAACTGCTGTGGAAATTAGTAGTGTGATTTCTCATCAAACTAAAAATGGAAATTTCATTTGATTCAGCTCTACTTTTCAGTATGCTCGTGAAGGGATTAAAGGTGTCATATCATAATGATACATGTGTACCTATATTTCCAGCAGTGCAGTTCACAACAGTGAAGCTCTGAAAACAGACTGAATGACAGTCAGTGGATGAACGGATAAAGGAAATGTGGAATATATACACAATAGAATTTTATTAAGTCATAAAGCTGAATGAATGCAGAAAAATGGATGGAAGTTGAGACAAGAATATTAAGTGAAATAATTCACACAAAGTTAAATTTTGTTTCTCTGAGAAATCCAAAATATAAATAAAGAGTAAAATAAAGGCAGACTTTTAGTGATGGGGGAAAGAGACAAAGGGAAGGGGAACTTTGGGAGAAATCAAAATAAAGATAGATCTAATCCTAGCACTCTGAAGGCTGAGGCAGGAGGATTGCCAAGAGTTCAAGGCTACCCTTGTCTACACAGTGAATTCAAAGCCTGTCTGAATTACAGAATGAAACCCTGTCTCAAAAAAAATTCAAGATTTTATGTACTAATTCCCCAAAACTAATATAAATGTTCGGTATTGCAAACATACCAGTAAAAATGAAACTGTTCTATAGAATACAAAAATCTTTGAGAAGGGATTCAACTTCTTATAATTAACATTAAAAAACCCTGAAAACTAGTTGACATTAAGTACAAAATAGGAGTTTTGTTTGGAGGATAAAAGGGAGGAAAGCATGAAATATTTCACACCCTATACAAAGGAAAAACAGAGTGTGCTGAAACGTTGATCGTAACATATATATATGTGTGTGTGTGTGTTTATAAGTAACCCAGTAAAACTTAAATCTTTAAAAATACCAACTGTGCATGTAAAGATATATATATTTTAATATTTTTTTCTTTGACAAACTCTCTGACTTACATATTAAAATTTTATTTCAATTAAAGCTAGAGGAATTTGATATTTCTCAGAGTACAATAGAGAATTTTCATACTAATAAGAATGCTATCATTGAAACACATGCCATTTTGAACAACTGGTGCTACATTTTGCCAAGGTAAGATTTGTTTGTAATGTCTAGAATGGGTAAAAATTATAGGAGTTTCTTCTTACTTTGCTTCTTTAAGACTGATATATGCATTAGTACAGACCATTTTTATGAATTTTAAAAGCCAAATTATAACTTTAAAAACATATGGGAACATTATAATTACAGTAGTTATACATTTCCTTTATTAAATTATACATTTACAATTTTATTAGTTTTACTTTCAAGGAATAGTAAAATTTCTAGATTTCTCATTATAGCTATCATAATTATGAAATGAAAACTATAAATTTAAATCTAATAATGATTCATTATAATTTTATATGAGCTGACTTGTATTTATGTTCTCTTCAGAAAGTATATAACTATTAAGGCAAATTTTAACTTGCTCAGGGAAATTAATTTAACTACTAACATACAAATAATTAAAACACTAAAGCAGGAAATAATAGTTAGGAAATAGATGTGACTGATTTCTTCCACTCTTAATAGACTTTTCCTTAAAGTTTGATAATTACTTGACAAACTTCCTTGTGCCCATCTTTTGTTAGTCGTTACTTTATGTTTATAATTGGCACATCGTTTGCCCTGACTCAGTTTAGTTTTTCCCAAAAATTCCACCTGTTAAGATTTAATATAAAGGCTGTATATGACAAGTTCAGAGTTAACTTCATTCTCAACAATGAAAGCTTTTCTTCTAAAACCAGGAAAAAGACACGAGTGTTCACTTTTATCACTTCTGTTCATCATAGTACTTACTGGAAGTCCTTTGCAATTAGGCAAGAGAAAGAAATGAAAGGAATGTAGACTGGTGGGCATGGTGGTGTACATCTGTAGTCCCAGCACTCACCTGTAATGATAGCACTCAGGAGGCTGAGGCAGGAGAACTGCCATTAGTTTGAGGCCAGTCTGGACTACATAGTGGGTTCAAGACCATCCTGAACTACATAGTGAGACCTTATCTCAAAAAAGTCAAAACAAAACAAAACACACCTTGAATGGTCTCAGCATTTGTAAAAAATAATTTGTTGCCGGGCATGTTGATGCACGCCTATAAAGAATTACAGGCATTCTAGCACTCAGGAGGCTGAGGCTGGAGGATCACTGTGAGTTTGAGGGCAACCTCAACTATATAATAAGACACTGTCTCATAATAATAATAATAATAATAATAATAAAAATTTGTCAGTATATGTGAAATCTCACTTTTGGATCTCCATTTGACTCCACTGATTGGTGTGTTTGTCTTTATGCCAATAGCATAAAGTAGCACTTTTGTTTACTATAGCTTTGTCATGAGTTTTGAAATCAGAAAGTGGGAAGCTTCTACCTTTGTTCTTCTTTGTTCAAGACTGTTTTGGGTATTTGAAGTTCTTTGGAATTCCATAAGAACTGATGTGGATCTTTCCATGTCTGCAAAAAATATCATTGAGATTTTGATAGTAATTGCATTGAATCTGCATATCACTCAGGTAATACTGACATTTAGATAACATTAAGTCTTCCAATCCATAAATATGAGATATTTTTCCACTTATCTCCATGTTAATTTCATTCCATAATATTTTGTGATTTTCATGTGCAAGTTTGTTTTTGTAGGTGTGTTTGTTTTGTTTGTTTGTTTTGAGACAGGGTCTCACTATGTAGTCCATGCTAATCTCAAACTCATGGTGATTCTCTTGCCTCAACCTCCTGCATGCTGAGATTACAGGCATGCACCACCATGCCTGGTTTAATTCATTCTTTTGTTCCAACAGATTTTTGTAGAATTTTCTACATATAAAATGTCATTTTATGAAGAGATGCTTTTAACTTCTTCCTTTCTAATTTGGATGTCTTTTATTTATTTATTTTTCTTATCTATTTATTCTGGCTAGAGCTTCCAGGACTATATTGAATGCTCAAATGGGCATTTTCATCTTGATCTTAGAAGAAAAGCTTTAAGTTTTTTTTATCAATGTGATGTTAGATGTATAATTTATTATGTCTTGAGCATGTTGAGGTAGTCTTTTTCTGTTTTTAGTTGAGTGGTTTTTAAATAATGAAAGGGGGTTGAATTTTGTAATTTTTTTCTACATCACTTGAAATGATCATGTCATTTTTCCTCCTATTCTGTTAGTGTGGTATATTCAGCTGACTATATTTTGAATGCAAGGATTTGGTTGTTAGTCAGCTTTGTATGACTACAATGAAATGCCTGAGATAGGCTAAGTATAGAGAAGAGAAAGTTGAAATGCCTGAGATAGGCTAAGTATAGAGAAGAGAAAGTGTTATTTAGCTCACAGTATTAGAGATTCAAAATCCAAAATTGGGTAGGGTAGGTATTAGTACAGCATCTGTTAAAGTGGGGAGTGGCAATGGCAGGAGTGTACGTCAGAGCATGTGGTCATATCTTAAACCAGGAACCACAGAGATGACTTACAAGGTCCCACCAGCCTTTTCAAGGGCAAATTCATAAGGACATATGGACTTTCTACAAGGACCCACCTCATAGAAGTCCTCAGTATCTCCCAATATCATAGACAGGTAAATTAGAACAGTCAGAGAGGGAGGCCCAGTCCCTCTCTAACTGTATATTAGGTACAAAGGGACAAAAAAAGACATCAGAATTGTGGTTGGAAGCAAATCTGAAGCAAGCCAGTTCTCAGAGTAGAGATACAGTAGCCAAGCCTGCAGGCCCCCTAGAGATGATTAGCAAGTTGAGCTTATACTGTAATTAGCACCACCTGGTCCAGTGGGTTCCAATAGACATCAGACACATGGATGAGTCTAGAACATCTGAACCCGTACGCCCTTCATTTCTAAGAGTGCCTTTGTTCTTTCCATACACCCTTGCCACGTCACTTACTTCCCTAATTAGATTACTATTAGCTAAGCAGCTCTACTTATTATAATACAGGTTGATTGTATTCTGACTCACCTTGTACCTATGTTCTGATTTATGAATTACTACTCATGACAAAGAGCCTCAGTGGCTACTCACTTGGAATCTCTCCTAAAAATCCATTCTTCCTTATTTCTGTAGAGCTCTCAGAGACAGACAAACAGAGAAGAAAGAGAGGAAAAGCAAACTATTTTAAATAGACTAAGAACTCAAATGAGACATTTGACAAAAGATGTACAAATCACCAATAAACATATAAAAAAGTTCACAATCCCTAATCATTAGGAAAATACAAATTAAAATCACAATGGGATATCTCCTTCTGTTAGAGTAGCTAATATCAAAAAGACAAAAAATAAATGTTGGAGAGAATATGGAGAAAAGAACTCTGGCATACTTTGGTTGAAGTGTAAATTATAGTACTGTGGCCATTTTGAAAACAGTATGGAGGGTCCTCAAATGAAAAATAGAACTACCATATGATTCAGGAATTCACTATTGGGTGTGTGTGTGTGTGTGTGTCTGTGTATCCAAAGGAAATGAAATTAATGTGTCAAAGAGCTATCTGCCTTCACATATTCATTGTGGCACTATTCATAGTAGCTAAGATATGGATGCAACCTATCTCAATTGTTCATCAGTTGTGAAATGGATTGAGAAAATGTGGTATGTGTATACAATAGCATTTCAGCCTTAACACAGAAGGAAATCTTATCATCTTGGAGCAAGACTGAAGGACATTGTATTAAAGGAAATAAGCCAGATAGAAAGACAAATACAACATGATATTATACAAGGAATCTAAAAGGTCTCATAAAAACTAAGTGGAATACTAATTACCAAAGACTGAGGTAGGAGTAGGGTGGGGAGTGTTGATCAAAGGATATAGAATTTCAATTAAACAGGAAGAATAAGTTGAAGAAATCTATTGTACAATATGGTGACTAGAGATAATAACATTGTATTTTATTCTTAAAAATCACAGTTAGATTTTAAATATTCTTACCACAAAATGTACATATATGAGGTAGTATATGGTAGGTTCTGCTAGCCTGGGGCTCAGCTATCTGTAACATGACATCTGCTTGACTTGGTACTGGACCCAGAGAAACAACTTAAGTCTCCAGAGTAACTTCTACACTCTAGAGATAAACTTCCTGCTGCTTTTTGTACCTGCATCAAGCCCTCTCCAATCCCAAGACTCCACAACCACCCAAGCCTCCACCCCCAGCCCCTAGTAAATCTTTCTGTCTCCTGTTTTACACAGGCAGATGCTCCTTCAAATCAGTGGTTAATATTTTGTTTTGCCCGCCTCCCAAACTCCTCCCTCAGCCAAAACTGATACAAGTAGCTCCACTTCTTTATTCTAGCTGAGAGCTGCTTACCCCCTACAAAGCTCTCCCGTGCCCTCTTCCTACTTTGTCACCTTCTTATCTCTCCTGTACAGCTTTGGATTGAGTGCCAAAATACTCAATCAGTGTATATGTTAAGTAGCTGTTTAACTAGCTATTTAACTATTTCATGGTTATACATATTTCAAAACGTTATACATGGTAAATATATGTAATCTTCAATTAAGACATAAGATTCAGTACAATGTTTATTTGGAAGTAGAAGCATATGATTCATTTGTTATTTGTACATGTGAGATGGTTGCTAGGTCTTTTTGAATACTTTCTAAATCATGTAGTTAATTTATCAAACTATATTTAAGCTTTGATTCATAATATTTTATAAACTCTCATTTTTCATAGTATGAAAATGGGACAAATAATAAATATTCTTCATGCTATACCAGCTGACTGTCCATTTCATTCATTTGAAGATTTCCAGATGCACTGGGATGACATGGTAGGAACAGAAATGTATATCGCATTAGAAGTTATTTGATTTTATTTCTTGTAATTTTTTTTTTTTTTTTGGTCTTTTTCGTTTTTATCGGTACCAGGGATCGAACTCATGACTGCCTGCTTGCAAGGCAGGCACTTATGCCGCTGAGCTAAATCCCCAGCCCCCTATTTCTTGTAATTTAACCTGTTTAGCTTTCTCCAGGTTGATTTAAAGTTTGTGCTTAATTTATAGTATGGCTATAAACTTCCAGAAGATGGTAGAAATATTAAAATATACTGCAGCATCTACTTCAAAATGATCAGCGAAAGGACATTCACGTATCCTTTTTTCAGTAGTACGTAGGAGATGATCTCTGCCTACCTTATTACCTGGTCTTGCTCCTGCTCCAATGATGTCATATTTAAGTGAAATTATTTTTTTCTTTCACTTCTTATCTGCACAAGTTCTTTGGGTTTTTACTTAGAATTTTTTCCTGTTTCATTTGAGAGTGAGTTTAATAAGAATCATTTGTTTACTTAAATATTGTTTCAAAACTTAGATAACAAAAGAAAATTTGAGTACACAGACAAAATAATTTCTGTATTTTGTTTTCCAGTAGAAAGTGAGAAAACAATCATGGTTCTTCTTAGCCAATAGTTCCCTCTAGTGGTAGTTTGGATATTACTGAAAGAGTTAAAGGAAATAAATCAATTAGTGATCATTGTTTTGAGATTATTTAAATCTACAGGCAAAGTTTAGAGAATTTGACTTAGTGGACTGAATTCAGCGAGGAAAACATTGTTAACACTATTTCTAAAAAGCCACACAAAAACGAACAGAATTATGCAGGTGGAACTGTTGAATTTTAATTAATACTGATTTCATCATTCCTGTCCCCACCCCTTGAATTCTGTTCAGAGTTTAGAAAGGAAGGAGCCAGCTCTGTTTTCTGTGTTTTGAACCAGAATCTCCACAGTAAAACTGAGATTGACATAGACCAGTTATTTCCCTTTCATTAGGTGCCAAGACATTATTCCACATTATCTCATCGCAAGAGTAACTGCTTTCTTCAAAGGATTGCTTTTGGAGTTTGACTATAATTTGTATGTTGTTTCTGTGTACTGAAGTTTTCACTGCTATTGGAACTACAACCTGCTCATTGTTCACTAATGCATTTATTTTTATAACCTGAGTTACATGGTTTTCTTTATGAATATTTGGACTACTTTAATTCTTCAGTCTATCTAGAAAGCTCTATACTGAGGGCACAATGAATTACCTTAATTATTTTTTTTCTTTTGAGACTGGTCTTGAACTCATGGTGATCCTGCTGCTTAAGCCTCCCAAGTGCTGGGATTACTGATGTGTACCATCATGTTCAGCCTTAATTATCAGTGTTATTCCAGAGCACCATACTGTATCCCATAAACATATAATTATTGTTTATTGATAAATATTATTTTAAAAAATAAGAATGAAGATGTGTGGGATGAACAATATAAGAATAGTTGGGATTTATTTATGTGTATTTTTAACATTGCTATTTAAATGTTTTTTAATTCCATAACATTTCTGTTTCTCATTGTACAAAAACAGTCACATTTTTCTTTAACTTTGTACAGATACCCACTCAGTTGCATTAGATGTCAGCCCATACAGTTCTTCCCAAGGGTGGATTTGGAAGGTGTGTTGAAAAGTTTCCTTTCAGATCTAAAATCTAAACTGCCTCATATATGTGGATTTCCCATAAAGATGACAAATAAGGCATGCTACTGTACACATGGACTAACCAAACCTCATGTACAGGTAAGAGGCATTTTAATTTTATCTAGTTCAAGCCGCATTGTATACTTGTCTTGCTTTATTCTCTTGCATTCTCTTGCAGAACTGTTCAAGAACTTTTTCTCTCAGGTCAGGTCTTATTATTTGATTTAACATTTGTTCCCCTGACATTTGTTATTACTGCATTTAGCATTGTTATGATAGTTGATTACTGAAATTTTTCACGCATGTGAAGGATATAAATGAATTGGGTTGTTGAAGGTTGAAGAGGAAGTATGTGAAGATGATTTATCTGGAGAGATTGCTTCATCAGTGTGAGCTCAATTCTGTAGGTGGGAGTCCTACTGCTCCCCATGTCAAGTGGACAGCTTCTCTGGTACCTACAAGTGGGAAGAAAGCGAGCCAGTCTAGCTTCTACATGGCCTCTTTAAGAAACTGATGTAACTGGCTGTCTCTAGATGGAGAAGGGTTGTTCTATACTCCAGAATTTTTAAGAACAAAGGGGTAGAAGACTTCACTTGAAATCAATTTAGAATTTTGTTTTTTCCTTTTCATCATTGATTGCGCTTCAGTTATTTTTACTGACGCTAGAGAACTTTGGGGGAAGGAGAGCTGGTTGTTCTGGTTATGTTCCCACCTACACTTTTAAATCCATCTGTATGGTGCTAAGTAGCATACATTTAGAAAGGGGTATTAATGTACAGCTTAATAAATAATTATCACATGCCTATATATCAAAAACCAGGTTAAAAAGAACAAGAGCCTCCTGTTTGTATTTTCCTAATTATATTCCATCTCCCTCAGTATACCTGCACAAAGATAACCACTGCTTTGACTTCTTTCGGAATTATTTGTTCTCTAAGAATGCAGCAAATAATTATATACCCTTAAACACCAGATTTTAGTTCTGTCTGCTTTTGAGCTTTATGCAAAAGAAATCCTACAAATTATATTTCTTTGTGTCTGGCTCATTTAGCTCAATGTCATATTTGTGACATTTATCCATGCTGTTTTATTTAACTGTGGTCAGTTCACTTTTGTTTTATTATTTGATTATACCACAGTTTATTCACCCAGAATACTATCCATGAATCCTTGGTTTAGTTATCTTTGAAGGTTATTCATAGTAATGCTACAAGGAACACTCTTGTGTATGTATCCTGGGCACATAAACATCAATGTTTTAGTATTTATGCCACACTGTTTTCAAAACTAGTTATACCAGTTTAAATAATCACATGCCCCTTCTAACAGACAGCGTAAGAGTTTATATTATCCTTATCTGTATTATTAGCCCTCACTTTCAGTAATTCTGGCAAATGTATTTACCTTGTGTTTTTAATTTGTGTTTTCCTGATTATTAATGAGGTTAAACATCTTTTCATATGTATGTTGTCTACTTCAGTATCTTTTTTTAGAAGTGCCTTTCTACCATTTCTCAACTGTGTCGTGTGATTTTTAGATTTCATCTATAGGTATTCTTAACGTATGCCAGGTTCTTTATCAATTGTGTATCTCACATGTATCTTCTTTCATTCTGTAGAATGCTTTTTCATTCCCTTAATGATGTCTTTTTAATTGATAGTCTTTTATAGCCAAAATTATCAAATTTTTTCCTTTATGATTGCTGTTTTGTGTGCCATTTTAAAAATATAATTGTACCCCCAAAGTCAGGAATATATTCTTCTATAATGTCCATCTAATAAAAGGTTTTCTTTTCTTTCATTTGCATTTAGTTCTACTATCCAATTGGAATTTATTTTAGTAATATGGTATGATTCAGGTAATCAGATTTCTTGTTAATTTGGTTATCTCTTTGTATAATAGTATTGAAAAGATAGTTCTTTAATCCTCTGCAGTACCACTTTCTTATAAGTTTATGTATGTGCTATTGTGTCTGATACCTCTTTTCTTTTTCTTTGGTTTATCCTTGCACCAATACTGTACTTTTAGAATCAGATTTAATCTTAAACTTTGTCTTTATTACAAACTTTGTTATAAAAATAAATCTATTAGGTTTTAAAAAAACCTGATGAAGCCTTTTAGCTATTTTTGATCCATGTATTTCCATGCATAGTTTCAGTTTATCAAGTTACACACATATTTATACATACATATTGATTCCTCTAGGATTATGATTAGAATTTCATTAAATCTTTTTTTTTTTTTTTTTTTGTCTTTTTCATTTTTATCGGTACCGGGGATTGAACTCACGACCGCCTGCTTGCAAGGCAGGTGCTTATGCCGCTGAGCTAAATCCCCAGCCCCAAATTTCATTAAATCTTATAACCATGAATATTTTATATTTCTCCCTATATTTAAAATATATCTTCTTTAATTTTTCTAATTTTCTACTTTTATTAGTTTATTCACATATACTTCATATTTTAGATATTATTTTGAATGATACATTTTTATCATGTATTTCAAAATATTTTCAGATTATTATTATTTCATTTTGACTATGAGCTATTGAAAAGTACATTTCTTAATTTTCTAGTACATAAGAATTTGCTAATTGCCTTTTTCTATGTATTTCTTGCTCAAATGTATAAGATCCATCAGGTGCTAAGAATTGTGTTCTAATCTCCCACTGTGATTGGAATTTGTCTGTATTTCCTACTTTTAGATTTTGCTGCATGTATTCTGAGACCACAACCATAGATACATGTGAAATTAGAATTTAGAATTATCTGTTTTTCTGGCAAATTGAACTTGCTGACATAGTGTGCAGCTGACCTTTCTTTTTGCCTAAAAGTGGTAAAAATGGTGGGCTTGCTCAGTGAACAGTTTTATCTAGTGAATGTACTGGAAAGGAACAAGGGGAGACTAGTGTTGCCTTGTCATAAGTTTTCCCAAGTACTTCTTGGAAAAGCTCCAGCTCAGCCTGAGCAATTACTGACATACCAAGACCCTGTGTCAAAATTTTAAAAATAAAAATAAAAATGGGCTGGTGATGTAACTCAACATGAAGAGTCTAGATTCAATCGCTAGTACCACAAAAATATAAAAGATGATGGAGATTTTCCTCAGTGTAACTTTCTGTGCTACTATACAGCTACAGATTAAACATGTTTTCCATTATTGTAGTAATAGGGATTGTTTTGTTTTATAGGCTTACATGTACTAGAACTATATTTGGAAACTTGCCTGAAACTAAGGGCGCCCTAAAGAACATAGACTACAGTCTCTCTTTCTGTTCACTGTGTCCTCTTAGTCTGCTCAATCTACTTTCTTGATCACCAGGGGTCTTTTTTTATTATAGTTTTCAAACACCATATCCTGATGACACTTTTTTCAGCTTTTGCAACCATGCTTGTCTTAGTTACTTTTTACTCGTAGCTGAGACAAAATACCTGAAGCCCAAAGTTGGGAAAGGAAGGGTTTATTTCTTACAGTTTTTGGAGGTTTCAGTCCACACTCAGTTGTCTCCAAGACAGGCAGGCATGGCTGGGCTGCAGTTCATGGCCGCCACCAGCAGCAAACTCGAACCAGCAAAGAGAAAAACACACCTTCTTCCTGCCATTACATCACATCCCGGCTCCACCCCTATGTGGGTGGAGCACTGACACCATCAATCCAAGCACTATACAATGAACCATCACAAATGAACAATGCAAACTCATGACGCCTGGGGGACACAAATATAAAACATGACAATGCTGATTATTTCATTCTCTTTAAAATTCACAGTTAAGATTTCTCAGAACCAGTATCTGAGACCATGTGTCTCTCCAGGCCAGGTCACGTCCATATCATTTATCACTATTTAGCTTATGAATTTAGTAACCCTGACTCAGGGGCTGCTATATCAGTCAGTTTTCTGTCATAGGAAGAAAACCCTGACACCCATAATTTAAAGGACTGCAGCTTTATTGTGATTCACAATTTCAGAGATTTTAAACATGACAGAAGATCATGGCCAAGGAAAGAGCTCAACTCATGGCATCCAGGAAGCAGAGACTAGGGAAAGAAACTGAGAGGAAAGTGCCAACTATAGTCCCCAAGTTCACACCCCCATGACCCACACCTTAACAATCATAGGGCCCCCACCCACCCACATACACATTTGTACAACTAGTGGAGGAAGGTAATTACAGAACATGACAATTTGGACATGGAAGGCTATAAGCAAGGCAATTTTAAAAATTTTTTTATGCTTTAAAGATTTTAACATAGAAAATACACAGATAATATATTACATTATGATAACCAAGGAAGTATTCTACATTAAAAAATACAAATTTATAAAATATGTGTATCAGCATTGAAAAGCATAGTACTTAATATTTAACATAAGCGTAAAGTACTCTGACCACAGGGTTATACAAAATAAATTCCTAGAACACCAAAATACCAGCCATTTTGACTATAAACCGCCTTATTGGTTTTGGTATTTTGAGAGAACTATAATATGAAAAGAACTAGCATGACACTTAAAGACTGCAAAAAAAAAATCTAGTTTAAAACATATGTATTGCAATTCTGCATAAAATATATACAGTAAATTTTACTATTTAAAAACACCCTAATTAAGGGTTAAAACCTCATTAAAGAAAAATACTCTTCATTTGTATACTCTTCATTGTAAAATACTCTTTATTTGGTAGAAAACTGATAGGATTTTGTTTGGGGGAGGGAATAGGGAAGGTACCTGCTGAAGCTACTTAAACCTATTAAAAAATGTTCATGAGGTTGTAACTGGCTGCTTATAATGCCTTAAAATATTTTATCATGAATATAGTTTCTCATTTCTCAAAATGAGGTCCAAAGGTCCAAAAGATTTCTGATGTGGAGCCGAAAATAAACGTTGCAATTAAATTCCTTGTATGATTATTTTACATACTGAAATGCCCTATGGGAAAAAGAAACATTTAAAAGATCATAACTGTAAACATTTCTGACATGTCTGAATTCTCCATAAATTTATGATGTGAACTCTGCTTTTTGTTTTAAAACAAGTCCCAGGCATAAGAGAAACATATATACCTCTAAAATAAACATGCAAATGTGTAAACATGTTT